AACAGCTTATTCCTGTTGTGTGTCAGCCACGTGGCCTTGCTTGCGTTCCCACCTCCTCGGGTTTTATTTGGTCTGCAGAGCAGGCCTGTATCCGTCACCCAGCTCTTAAATTATTAAAATGCTAGGTGGCTTGCTGGGTGACGTAGTTACAGAGCACATTGAGGAATTCAGGGTCAAAAGCCAGTGCTTCACCAGACTCTAAGCGGAGCCTTCCTGGCAGTGAAGCTGTGTTTCAATTCCACTTGAACAGTTACACATTGAAAAGGGACATTACAGTAAGAAACGATCCTTTACAGTGGGAACTCCCGGAAAGGTCTGGGACTTTTCCCTGCTTACACCTCAAGTTTCTGGAGTACAAAGTGACACCATCTCTGCTCAGAAATTGTTTCCTTATGTGTTATTTATTGAAAATACAGTTTCTGCAAGGTTCCCCAGTAGCGTGGAGCCCTGCTTGGGAAAGTCCTTCTGGCTACCGCACAGAATCTCTGGTCTGGCATGCTGTGACTGGCCCTTCATTGTGCCTAAGATATATTGCTATTCATGTAATTCCAGATCTCTAAAAGCCACAAAAGAAAAGAATTGACTGTTAGTGCTACTTGCTAAAATGCTAATGAGCTCATTTATAATGGAAATCCTTGGGGCCTTCCCAGTAGGTATTGTGCATTCTCCTGCATGAATCCTGTATTGTGCCTGGTTGGGCCTCTAATGGTCAGCGTAATTAATTGCCTTTGTGGATGCCAGTCCTTGGCACAGCCCTGCAGCAAGAGTCAACATGTATCTATCAGCACAGCCACAGAATGGCCTCTCCTTTTCTTGTCGCTCAGTTTTGGAGTTGGGTACAATTGGCTGTTTCTTTGTAGACATTAGGCTCTCATAATAGAGGTTTCTTTTGGACAGAGTGCCTTCTGTCTGAGCAGAGAGCATGCTGAAATGTCACCTCAGACGTGGGTTCCTGTGTCGGATACCAGACGAGCTCATTCTCTGCTGGTGCTGGGCAGGCGCAGGTCTCTGACCTCAGCTGGTTTGGGGACAGTGACCAGTAGCAACCTCCTGAGCAGGAAGGCGGTCTGGTGAGCAGGGTTTCTAATGTGGGCTGCTGAGATGTCCTGTCCTGTGACCTGGCACCTGGCATCACTCTGTGATGGTGTTTGGTTTATGGCACAATGGACTTTGGACTAGGGAGGTCGTCTGGGATCACATGAAGGCCTAGAGCAGAGAATCTTCTCTGGCTGGTGGCAGAAAGGGAAGGGAGAGGGATTAGGGCACAAGCAGCCTGCGGTGGGTGGGGTGGTACCTAAGGTGTGGCCAGCTCACAGCTACCAGGAGCATGGTGGCCTCTGCTCCGAAGCTGCAGTGCCGACATCCTTCCAGCAGAGGGCGACCCTGAGCAGAGAAGCCGGTCGGGATGCCTGACTCCTGGCCCCTGGCCCCTGGCCCCTGTGCTGGGGTTGGTGTGTGTAGCTTTTTTTTTTTTTTTTCGTCTTTTTTGAGACAAGGTCTCGCTATGCAGTTCAGGCTGGCCTTGAACTCACTTTGTAGCCCAGGCTGGTCTCGAACTTGCAAGGATCCTCCTACCTCAGCTTTCTGAGTGCTGGGATTACAGGCGTGAGCCACCATTGCCCGGCTGGTGTGTGTGGTTTTATGTCACTAAGTTTGTGTGAGTTGTGACACAGCACAGAAACCCCAGGCAAGTGGCAGATGCTGCTCACGCAGAGAGGACACCACCATCTCCTGCTGCTGCGGCTGTGATGCTTTGTGTTTCCCTTGTAGAATGACTCAGCGGTGACTTGGCTTGCTGTGACCATGATCCATGGTAAGACAAAGTTTTCGTTGAAACCTAGCTCGTTGACACACAGTTAAAAGACCCAGCTCCCTCTGAAGATTTCATCCTTGTATCACACACACTCTGGCCACTTCTGCTCTACTGGCCTCTCTTTTGTTTCTTAAAATGTAGGTCTGGACTCAGGAGACTGGTTCCCCTATCTGCTGACTCAGAGCTGGATAGTTGCTGCAGTTGTTGGTGCTTCTAGAGGGGGGATCCCCACTGCCCACCCAGTGCTGGAGATTGAAACCGTGGCCTTGATGCTGAGCTGCATCCCCAGTCTATTTTGAGATGTATTTTTGAGATGTGGTCTTGATAAGTTGCTGAGTTCAAACTTGTGATCATTCCACCTCAGCCTCCCAGAGTGCTAGGATTGCAGGCTTGCCTCATGCTTTATTTTTTAAACTACTGGCCATCTGCTGTCCTTTACATGAGTGTCCGTGTTGTAGAAAGTACTGCTGGGCTCAGGCGGTGGCATGGCACTTCCTGGGGTCTCCAAGGAGAGTCAGCGCCCCTCCGCCGGGCTCCTGGGCTCCTGTGGTTTGTCCAAGCATGCTGGCCAGGTGGCTCACCCTGTGTCTGTTTCTAGGAGCAGTGAGGGGCCTCTCTCCTCTATGTGGGCAGCCTGCTTCTTCATCCTGCAGATGCAGCCGCTTGCCTCACCAGCTGCAGGGGCGACGCTAGCCAGGGCTGTGTGGCCCCCTTGGTGTGGGTGAAGAGGGATTTCTAAAACAGTGAGCGTACCTGTGATTGCCAGGTGCTTGCCGGCGCCTGGAGATCTTGCAGAATGCAAGCCTTCGTGTTGGCCCACACTGCTGCCATTGTCAGGATTACTTTGTCTGCTTTCTTGGATAATGATGGTATCTCCTTGTGGTTAGTCGATCTGCTTTCCCCATCTCTTCACGCTGGGACAGCCTTGGGTAGATCCTTCCCATTTCCTCTGTTAGAGTGTCAGCTCCACATCTGGAACCCCAGTCCCACTGGCCCGCACCTTGGGAGGCCCTGTCTCTGCTGGTGGGACTCACACATGAGCGACTTGGGCGCAGGGCCTGAGATGCTGCCAGGGTTTCCAGTGTCACGGTAGGGGCAGAGGAGGAGGTGGTGAAGAGAGGGAGTTTTCTGCCACCCACTGGGAACTATCATTAAGGCTGAGAGTCCTGTGGCCACTCCCAGGGCTGCAGCCCCCTACCCCAGAGAGCAGGGTGCAGCATCCTCCAGGGTGTGTGGGAAACCATGGGAAAGCCCCTGGAGTCTCCCAAGCAGCCACATGGATTTCTGGTGGTGTTTCAATTTCTGAGAACTCCTGGGGTGAGATGGGGCTTGGACAGTACCCAGGGCCTTGTGACAGAATTCATTGCATGTTAAGAAGGTGGGATTTTCACAGGTTTTTGGCTGAGAGAATGCTTTCCATCTCCTTCACCCACCATGACTGGAAGTTATCCTTTGGGAGCCAGCAGGAGGCCCGGAACAGCTTTCTAGACACCCTCAGGTTTTCCCATGAGGAACAGACATCCACCTGCTGCTGCCAGGTCTGGGTCTGCTGTGATCCCCTGGGCAGTTTGGTGCTCAGTGTCAGCTGTAGTGGCACGGGCCTCGAGCTTTGCTGTTTGTGCCTTGCAAGGCTGGCTGGGAGATGTAGGCTTCCCTTTCCTGTGGGTCAGGCTGTCTCTGGGGTCTTCTAGGTAGGCAGTGTCACTGCTACACAGGGAGGGACAAAGGCAAACAAGACTAGACGCGCCTTCCTTCCAGCCTGCCTGTGGACAGGCCGAGACAGCCTCTTCATTTCTGCCACTGTGCCCTGGAGGCAGACTGTAGGTTCCTTCGTGGTCATTGTGAAGAGAGCAGGAAATTGATGCAGGCCTTTAGCATCAGGATGTGTTGGGGCGGCAGAGAGGCAGGTCCCTGGGGTGCTCCCTGCTCTCCGCCTCCCTGCAGGTGTCGTCAGGAAAGCCCCATAGCAGGAGGCCTGGTGTTGTGCTCAAGGTGCGTGGGTGGAGCCAGGCAGAGAGGGATGGCCTGCAGCCGGTTATGCGGGACACAGGCTCTACCACAGCAGCCTGCCCATGTGGTCCTGGGGTGCCTCTTCTGTGTGTCTCAGAGGTACTGATGGAGAGGGACCGATAATTGCAGAGTACCCAGAGAGGCGGGCGACTGGGCCAGGCAGCAGGGATGGGGGAAGTAAGCCTCATGGCGCGCTCTGTCGGGGCAGGGGGAAAAGTGTGAAGACCCCATGTACGGCAGCACACCTGTAAGATTTCTGAAGTGGCAGGAAAAGTGCCGTCACCCCGTGCAGTCGTTCAGTTCATCGCAAGTGTGTAGTGAGCGGTATCAGCCTCTGCTCTCGGGGTCCTCCCAGAGCACGGTGCAGGCAGCTGTGGTTTCAGAGGTGCTCCCGTTGACCCCTGCACAGGTGGCTGCAGAGCTCTACTGGGTTACTCGGGTAGCAGCTCCGTGCTGCTCCCAGCCCCTGCGTCCTGTAACCCATGTGTGTCACCTCAGCAAGGGCACACGTGACATATGACCTAAGGAGAGAGTGAGGCCCCGGAGCCCTGCCTCCCCCAGTGGCCTGGACACCTGGGCCTGTATACAGGTCCCATCCTGCCTAGCTTCTGCGTGGTCACTGTGGTGTCCTCTTCATCCAGATCTGCTATTTCTGGTTTGTTCACCATCCCTCTAAGGTCCATGCTGTCCTGTAGGCTCTTTCTCCATGTTCCAAATTTAAATTTAATACTTTTCTTAATTCATAATCTCAAGGTTAGAGCTCTTGGGACCTTCTTTCACTCAGCCTTTCTGGGCCAGGGTTGAGTGTGGCTCGGTGCCCTGTGGTGCAGGAAAGGAGCTCTGACTCTGGAAGATTTTTATAAGCCTGGGGTGGGGGCACATGCAGACCAGGAATGGGGAGGCGAGTGCCAGCAGACACAGGCTGTGCAGCCCCTGAACGGGCCTGTTCCTGTGACTTCATACAGACCTAGAGGCCTTGGGTGCTTAAGAAATCGCCCTGCAGCCGCAGGAGCCCAGAGTGATTCTTGTGACGCTGGTGTTACCAGATCAGGAGCCAGGGTTGGTCCCTGAGACTGGAAGGACCCCAGTGCGCACTCCTCCACACGGGGCAGGGGGTCGAAGGTGTTGGGCAGCTACCCCTGCTCCTCCTGGATACTGACTGGCTATGTCATTGCAGGCTGGGAGTCTTCCGTCCTCCTCGGCTCCGGTGTCCGCCTTCTCTCACACATCTATCACGCCATCTAACCAGGACATCTGCAGGTAACACTCGGCTCCCACGCCACCGTGATCCTTGCAGTCCCACATCAGCCCTGTGTCCCTCAGACTCTCAGTTGCCCTGTACCCAGGTTCTGCCCGGTCCATTGTGTGTGCTGTTTGCTCAGTGCCTCATGCAGGCCTCACGCTGCCATCACTGTGGTGTCTGCTCTCTGAAACGGTCTCACTCTCTGCTTTGTCCCACTGTTCCGCATGCAGTTCCAGCACAGTGTTCTCTGAATTTTGTTACCACAGTACCGTGCAGTCTGCTGTTGTCTTGAAAGCTCCTCCTTGCCAGAGTTCTCTGACACCAGGGCTCACCGTGACAGTTGTCTGTAAAGACACACTGCAGGCGCCTGAGGGAAACCCCTCAGGTCCAGAATGGGCCGAGGCCTGGAAGCCTGCCAAGAGCACCAGGAGTGGCAGAGCCCTGAAGTTCTCCAAGTCCCTGAGCGACGTAGGGGCCAAGGCCCAGGACGGCCTGGAGAGCACCTGCTTCGTGGAGAGAACCTGCTCGGAAGGGAAGCTGGCTCTCCCCCCAGGGCCCAATCTCAGGACCAGCGGGCTCTTCCCCCAGGGGCAGACAGTGCTGACCCGCGCTCCTCCCGTGCATTCCAAATACGCATGCATCGCATCCCTCGCTGCTCCCCAGGCAGCTGCCTGGGAGGTGGGTGCCTGTAGGAGGGGTGACCACGTTCCCCTCTGGGAGGAGAAGGCGGAAGGCGAGGCCACATCCAGGAGCCGGCGTCTGCTCCGTTACCTGCTTTCGCTGTCGCGTGGCTCGAGCACCAGCAGTTTGCACCGCTTCCATGAGCTGGAAGCCCACGCTGCCCATCCGCACACCACCCCCTCCTCCAGCGGGCGGGCAGGGAGCACGGGCTTCTGCTCAGATGAGATGGGTGATGACGACGTCTTTGAAGACAGTGTGTCTGCCAGGCTGAAGAGCGCAGTGCTGCGGGCTCCCCTCTGCTCTGTGGAGAAGGACAGTGACCTGGATTGCCCCTCTCCCCTGTCTGAAAAGCGGCCCCCAGCATCCCCTGTGTCCCCCTCCGGGGATGCCTGCAGGTTGGTGTGTGGGGACCGCGTCCAGCCGGCCCTGCTCGAACCGCTGCCTCCCTGGCTTTAATATGTGAAGTTTCTGGAAAGCAGAATGTGAGATGGCCTTGCTGGCGGGGGCTCATTGTCTTCTCCGGGAGGCGGAGCACTGTTGCCTTTTAGAAAGACAGTTTTAAATGAGGAAGAAGCTACACATATTAAAGACCATGATGACTCATTCCATCTGAAAATGTATAGACTTTGTATAAAGATAGGAAGAAAAAGAGCATCTCTGGCCTTGCTGCCTGCTGGTCCATCGCAAGCATGTGCTGCCCCCAGCTCTTTCTGCTTCCTGCCTCCATCCACAGGGGTGGAGGGCTTCTCTCCAGTAGCTCCTTCTGCTCTTGACCCTCACGGCGCCACCCCATCCTCCCACTTAGCACCTTGTGTGGCTCCTGCCTGCTAATTCTCGTGCTCCCTCTGTGGTGGCAGCTGTGTCATTGCTCACATATATGGCCTCTGTTCCAAGCAGAGGCATTCCTAACCTGTCCCTGCTGCAGGAGGAAAACATGTTCTCCGAAGCCCGTCTCAGGTCCAAGTGGCATCTGCTGCCCATTTGGTGCCTCTGCAACACCTGGGGTGGCGAGTTCGGGGTGGAGGTGCTGTGACTGCAGCCACCCTGAGGGGGCAGGAAGGCTGGCGTGCCGTGGGTGTGGGCAGGCTGCATGGGAAGCATGTGTTGTCACTGAATCGCCGTGGGTTTGGCTGTGATGCCTGATGACAACTTCATTGCCTGGGGAGGTGTTCCGTGTTGCCATCTGTCACATCGCATCCTCCCTCCCGTGTTGCCGCTGGCCTTCTGACTCCGTGTCAGTGCGATGCGCTGGATGCTTTAGTTTCTAGTGGCTGTTTTCACGCGTGTTTGTGTTTCTGAGTCCACAGTCACTCCTGCGCTATTTCTGAGTGTTCTTCGGGGCCTGGCCTCTGGGTGTGCCCCCTCCTCAGCACGTCGTTCCTGCTGTGACAGTTTTCCCTCCCCCCAGGATCTGCCACTGCGAGGGCGATGACGAGAGCCCTCTGATCACACCATGCCACTGCACGGGCAGCCTGCACTTCGTGCACCAGTCCTGTCTGCAGCAGTGGATCAAGAGCTCTGATGCACGCTGCTGTGAGCTGTGCAAGTACGAGTTCGTCATGGAGACACGGCTGAAGCCACTGCGCAAGGTATCTCGGGCTGCCCATTCCTGGTGGTCCCCCCCCCCCCCCGTGACTGTGAAAGTCCTGCTGCCCTCGCCAGGACTGATCCTCTCCCTGCAGTGCTCAGCCTGGCACAGCATGTGTGTTCATCTAGTTCGGAACAAGAATTTTCTGGGGTGGGGGCTCTGCTAATACATCTTTCTGTAGGCCCAGCGTGGCCACAGTGGAAACACTGAAAGGCCGTCCTGTCTCAGAGCTTTAGTAACTGCTTGCTGGGACTCCCGGGATGGCAAGGCCGGTAGCATCTGCTGGGTCAGTGTGGGTGACTGGGGCCTGCAGAGCAGGAAGCGATCTTCTTAAACCTCTGCAGGGTGAGGCAGACATACTGGGCTTTGGGTAACTCTGGAAGGAGTTTGGGCCTCGCAGGCAAAGTGAAGGAGTTGGAGAAGGTGGGGCATCTGGAGAAGAGCTTCTACCATCCATATATCAGGGTGAGGCCCTGGCTGGGGGTCCTGGGCAGGAGCCGGAAGCAGGACAGCCTGTGTCTCAGGAGGGAGCCAGGAAACATGCCCAGGTCAGCCCCCAGGAAGCAGTCAGTAGCTGGAGGACATGGGCACAGGCCAAAGGCTTGCCTCAGCAGAGACCTGGAATGTATCAGGTACCTGCTGTAGACTGGCTTGTCAGGCAAACAGTCCAGCACAGTGCAGGTAAACTGAGGCACTATCATCAGCTCACCTGTACAGAACACCTGGCCAGGTGTTGTGGCCAGTGTCGGCCAGGGGTTGGCAGAGGGCACATACTGTGCTCTCTGCATTTTATGTGTTTTCTTGTGGCTGGGAAACAGCTATTGATAAAGAAACTCCACTAGCTGGAGTCAGAAATGGCTCCTTGGAGAGGGGGCTGCACTGGGAACTTGGCCTGGACCAGCAGGGGCCTCTGCCCCTTGCCCCAGCCACTGGGTGTGCCTGGGAGACCTGAAATGCAGGTTCCGCCCAGGGCTGAGATCAGCAGGAGCAGATGCGCTGCCTGCTGGCCCAGCGTCCCAAACACCCCAGCCCCCAGGCCTTGGTTGTGCTTGGCCCAGCTGCAGCAAGTGGTTTGCAAGGGCAGCTCTGGGGTGGGGGCAGTTGCCACCTGTAGCCCCCTTCCTCCCCCAGTTAGCCCTGCACTCAGTGCCCTGGGCTTATGTTCGTGCGTCCCCTTTCCAGTGGGAGAAGCTGCAGATGTCGAACAGTGAGCGCAGGAAGATCATGTGTTCCGTGACCTTCCACATCATCGCCATCACCTGCGTGGTCTGGTCCCTGTACGTGCTCATCGACCGCACCGCTGAGGAGATCAAGCAGGGGCAGGCAACAGGTAGGTGCTTGGGGAATGTCATGGGGAGCGGGAAAGGGTCAGAAAGGCCATCAGAGGACTGGGATCCCTCGCAGTGGGCAGGGCTGCGGTCACTGAGCATGCATGGTCTGCTGTGTTCCTTTCCATCCTCAATGGCTGATGGGGTCTCTCCCTTCAGGCATCCTGGAGTGGCCCTTTTGGACTAAGTTGGTGGTCGTGGCCATTGGCTTCACTGGAGGACTCCTTTTTATGTACGTTCAGTGCAAAGTCTACCTGCAACTTTGGAAGAGGCTCAAGGCTTACAATAGAGTGATCTACGTTCAGAACTGCCCAGAAACAAGCAAAAAGAATATTTTTGAAAAATCTGCACTAACAGAGCCCAGCTTTGGAAATAAAGACAGACACGGACTCTGTCGTTCCGACACAAACTCCTCCTCTTGCACAGAGCCCGAGGACACCGGGGCGGAGATCATCCATGTCTGATGGGTTCCCAGACGCCTGTGGGGTGCCGCGGGATGTTGTTCACTGCCAATTGTGTACCTTTCTCCTGCCCTGTAATAGCAGAGTCAGGCAGGCGATGAGCTTGCGGGCCTCTTTGTGAACTCTCCTTGGCGATCTGAAGCCGTCCTGTGACCAGCGTGTCAGGGTCCCTTCTGCCAGGCTGCTCTGGGGGTAGGGAAGGGGGAGGCCCTGGTGGCCACCGTGGGAGGCTGAGCTCTGCTCCCGGTCTCCACAGGGTGAAGAACGAAATGCCAAATCTAAGGGTCGAACGGGAGCAGGCTGCAGGAGGGGCCAGCCTCGCCCCGCTCCAGCTGCCCCGAGCCTGCAGCGCCTGATTCCCTGAACAAGCAGCACTTTACAGAAGAGTTTATTTTTTAATACATGCCCAATGGAATTGACACTTAGGAGGCATCACATTTAGAAATCTCCCTTCACCACTCTAGTTCTCTCTGGCATCTGGAAGTAAATCTGAAACCCTCTTTGCCTTATTTATTGTAAGAATCGGGGCCTCCTTTCTGTGGGACGTGACTGGTAGCAATAGTGGTAGCCAGTGGCAGTGACCAGGTTCCTGTACCCTGGAGTCACCGTCTCCAGGGCTGCCTGTGTTTCCTCTAGGTCAGGACTGAAAAAAGAGGGCTTTGGATATCAAAATGGGAGAAGTGAGGACTTTGATATGACTGAGTGTTTAAAAATCATGTCCTGTACAGAGACAGAGGTCTCCAGGTGTGGCTGGCTTTCTGGAGTGCTCCTGGTACCTGGCCCCCGTGGCACTGTAGGGGTGCTGTGGGGCCCAGAGGGGACAACAGACTGTCCGGGTCACTGTGTCACCATCTCTGCCCACCCACATGGCCTTAAGGGATTGGATAGACAGGGTCCTCCAGGGCCTAAGCCTGGTCAGCCCTTGTCATCAGGAGCTTTCCAGTACCATTGATGATACAGAACCAAACTCACCACCTCAGATGGCCTTGTCCCTTGAAAATGCCTGTGTAAAATTCTGTTCTCAAAGCCCAGTGTCACAGTCCTAGGCAAACGGTGACCCTGGGAGGCAGCCAGGAGCCTGCAATGCAAGTGGGGGGGGGGCCCACGGTATGCTCAATGGGCCACAGCCACAGTCCGTGCCGTGTATGTACAGCCCCTGCCAGGGCCCTCACAGGCAGGATGGCTCACAGCCCCAGGCGGGACCCTGCAGGTTGAGCTGCCCCTCTACCCTGCAGGTACCAACCACAGGTCCCCCGGGACGCCTGCCCTCTGCTCCCTGGCTGCATCCCGCTGTACCTGAAGTGCAATTACCACGTCCCTGTTCAGCCCAGGGACACCTGGCAGCTACAGCTGCCCACTCAGGGGGGTGAGCCCACCAGCTCTGCCCAGACCCCCAGGAACTGCCCCATGAGGCCTGACCCTGGGCACCTACCTGCCCTGCCACCCATCCAGTGGGGGACTTTGTTAGCCCCTCCCCCTGGATCCCCATCCCAAGACTTGGGTGGAAAAGAGTGTGTGCACTGGGGGGTCTGGTACCCCAATAGCAAGGGTGCACTTGGCCTTGCCAAGCTGGAAGCCTTCATCCTGGTCAGGAAGGCTGGCACCCTCTCTCCAGCCACTCTGCAGATAGGGGTCCCACATCCTCCCCCGTCCCCAGGGCCTGGGCTACCCCTTGCCTTTCCCTTCCTATGGGTCCTGACTGCAAAGCCCTCAGCTCTGCGCATGCCCTGGAGGTGCTGGGGGGTGGGTGTTTGTCCCAGGTCTCACCTCGTCTCTACCTGGCTTCAGTAGAGGATGGCGTTTGCCCGAGCCACACAGAATCTTGGGCTCAGGCGGTCGCAGGGCCAGGGTGGCCCTGCTGGCCCTCTCTGTGACTCAGCACTGCAGCCCCACAGCACTGGCAGTCTTCTGACTTCACTCTTGGGTCCAAGCCTGTGAGGCACCCTGCCTGGTGGTGTGGACTGCTGGGCACAGACACGGGCTGCTGTCCTCCCTTGAAATCTGATTTCTAATATGCAACTGCCCCTCCATTGCCAGGAAGCACCCAGACGCAGGGAGATAGAAGCATTTCTCTCTTGAAAGTAATCCTTCAAGGTGCACAGCCGATCTGTTCGTATTTAGAGGCAATGTTTATAAAAAGCTGATTGTTAATAAAAACCAGATTTACACTGGCATGTGTGGTGTATTTTCTAAAAGGCACTTCAAGTGTGGAATTTTTCTTAGGAAATTTCTAGCAGTCTAAATGTTTAGTTTTATATCCTTTGTGTACTTTCAGTGGCACCACGGGAGTAAACCTCTGTGCAGCTCGCTGCAGCAATAAAGCCTTTCTTCAGCACAGAGTTTGCTCTGGGCGTTTCACTTGGTCAGGTTCCGCCTGCCCAGACAGGAGCCGTGTCCTCAGCCTGCGTCTCAGGCTCGGTTTCTTGGGTCTGGGAGGATACAGTGGGGGTGTGAGTGTGGGTGCTGTCGTGACTCCCGGCTCTGTGTCTGTGCCATATGCGTGGTCCATGCCCAGTAGAGAGGATGGGAACGGCTGCTCTCCTCTGCCAGTTCCTGGCCCTCGCAGCTTCCCTGGGGCATGGCAGTGCCTTGGTGTTTGAGCCGCTGTGTTGAGAGCTGGTCCCACTGCCCTGCTGCTTTCAGGCTGGTCGTGTGCGAGCGAGACTGGGAGGCTGCTCTGGAGCTGTGGCCACTGCCAGGTCCCCTGTGAAGGGCTGAGTCTCTCCAGGAAGGGCAAGTGGGACTGGCACCCCAGTCCTGTGAGTATGTGGCAGTGTTTTGAGGGCCTGACCGAGGACTTTGGTTGAAGAGATACCAGGTCGCCTCCTGCCTAGAACCAGCTGGGTGATGGGTCCAGCGCTGGCTCGTCTGTCCTGAGCTGCCCAGTGAGCACGTGTGGATGCCCATCGTCTCCTGCTGATTTCCTGTCCCCTGGCAAAGATGGGGAGGGAGTCAAGGCAATTGTGTGGGCCACAAAGCCTACAGCGTTTTCTGTGTGGTCCTTGCTAGGAGATGTCTGCCCAGTGCCATGGTTTGATGGGGATCAAGCCCCCCCATCCCCGCCAAGGCCGTGAGTCCAGCATGGTTTTCAGGGGGTGCTGCTGGGAGATGCTGCCCCTCGCAGGATGGGGCTGGAGGGCAGCCACTGGGGTGTCCCACTGGATCTTGGACCTGATCTTTTCCTTTTGTTCTGCTCCTGTCCTAGATACCCTCCTGTGTTACCATCTCAGAAATTTTAGTTTTCTGTTTTACTTTTAGGTCCACGATGCATGCTGAGTTGGCGTGTGTTGAGTGTTTGTGTGCATCTATGTCTTCATTGCTGGAACGCAGCACATTAACCTCACAGCCTGCAATCTTGCTGCTATAATTGCTTGTGAGTTTTAGTAAATGCGCTGCCCAAACACACAGTTTTAACAGGGTTTTTGTTTTTTGACATTTCTTCTCATGTATATTTTTATTTCCTTTTCTTGTCATTGACTTAGGTAGGACTTTGTCAGTACCTTACTAGGAATATTCTTAAACACAAAACACTGTTTTAAGTAACAGTCTAATGAAAACACACATACCCTGTGCTCTCCAATTAACACTTTCCTCTATGTTTTGCCACACAGCGTGTTTATCACTATTAGCGTGTGTTGTTTGAATTTCAGAGTAGACAGTGTCCGTAATATAATCCAGCCATGTCCGTCTGTCCTTAGTACCTAGAATTGTGTATTTTCAAACTATGCTATTTTTTGCGTGTGGAATGGTACAGTGAAATGCACGCATGTTAAGTGTAGCATCTGGTTCGGTTTGACGAATGTATCCACTTATGTAACCCAAACAACTACAAAGTACAGTACACTGTCTCAGTCCTGGAAGTCCCTTGACATCTCTTCTCAGATCCACTTCCCCTTCCCCTCATTCTGAGATATGGATTAGTCTGTTTTAAAACCTAAATTTTAACAGAGCCATACAGTATGTGCACCTTTTGTGGGAATACAGTGTGTCTCGTTGAAGAACGTTAGCTGTCCACACAATGTTTTGAGATTCCTTTGTGCTGTTTGATGGGTTCCCTTGAGCTTTTTCCTGGCCAGTAGATTTCTGCTGTAGGTCGGCTGTGCCTCTCTTCACCCCTGTTCTTATTGCTGGATGCCTGAACTGCTTGCATTTCGGCGCACTCACAGATAAAAGTGCTGAGAGTGTTTTTGTACAGATATTTTTGTGATGATGTGTGTTCCTCCCACCTAGGTAAATACTGGGAATGCAATGCTGGTGTAGGGAAGATGAGAGTTCTAGTTTTAATATTTTACACTGACAGACATGGAACATCGTAAAATCATAGAAACCCTGTAGACTACTTGGACTCACTTGTCTTGTGCTGTCTTCCTACAGTGAATCTGTGTGCATGATAGATGCCACACACAGCAGTGTCACAGTGCTTCGTTTAAGTGGGCAGATGTAATTTGAGAGAAGAGGGGCCAGGTCCTTTCCGTTCCCCACTTGGGGCTGTTTGCTCTCTCTGAGGACCTGTGTTCCCACCTTGGGTCATTTCCCATCACCTTGAACAATTTCCTCCAGCACTTTTGGTGCTATAGAGCGATGGACAATAGATTCTCTTTGTTTTTTATTTTATGGAAAAAAGTAAAATTTCACAACAAAGTAAGCGAATAGCCATAGTTAATTCATTGCATATTGTTATCTTTAACGGAGTTAGTACAAGAGATGGGCATAAACGTTTGCCAGTTGATATTAGCACAAGTCTTTTCAGTGGACTAAGAGACACTAGTGCTATAACCAACTTGCATTTTTCCCTTTTCCTTTCTTCCTTTCCTAGTCCTAGGTCCCTTCCACATCCTAGTTCCTTTTTCCTTTTGAACAATTTCTTCCCATTTCAAGGTGTCCGCTGTACAGTTTAGACCTCTTTTATTCTTTCAGTTTCTTACACCAGGGATACAGTGTTGCTTACACATGTGAATCCGATTTACTTCACTTATGAGTGTGTTCTCAAGCTGCATCCATTTACCTATAAAAATGTTAAGTTTATCCTTTATAGTTGAGTAGTGCTCCATTGTATAAAAAGATCAGGTTTTTTTTTAATCCATTCCTCAGTTGATGGGCATTTGGGTTGTTTCCAAGATGTAGCTATTACAAATTATGCTGCTATAAACGTAGGTGCACATAGATTGCTGTGATGCGAGTTTTTAATTCTTCCAGAAAGATACCCAACAGGGAAATAGCTGAGTGGAATGAAACCTCCAATCCTAGTGTTTTGAGCAATCTGCACACTGATTTTCACTGTGGTTGTACCACTCTGCACTCCCACCAACACAGGAGAAGGGTTTCTTTTTTCTCACCATCCCCCAGATTTGTTATTGGTTGATTTCTTCGTAGTAGCCATTCTTACTGGGGTGAGGTGGGATCTCAGTGTTGTTTTGATTAGCATTTCTCGTATCATCAGTGATGTTTAACATTTTTTCATATATTTATTTGCCATTTGTATTTCTTCATCTGAGAAGTATGTATTCATCTCAGATGCCCATTTTTGGATTGGGCCTTTGAATTTGGGGGGATCTGATCTTTTTCAGTTCTTTATATGTTCTAGATACAAGTCCTTTGAGATAATTGGCTAAAATTTTTCCCACTCTGTGGGTTGTCTTTTCACTTGGTTGCTGATTTCTTTTGATGTGCAGAAACATTTTAGTAAGATGAAATCCCAGTTGTTGATTATTTGAAGTATTTCCCATGAAGTCTGGGGTTTGTTCATGAACTCTGCCTATACCTATGTCTTCAATATATCTACCTACTTTCTCTTCCAATAAATTTAGTGTTTCTAAATTTTTGATCTTTGATCCATTTTGACTTTAGTTTAACTCATGGTGATAGACCGGGGTCTAGTTTTAGTCTTCAGCAGGTAGAAAACCAGTTTTTCCAGCACCATTTATTAAACAGGCTGTCTTCCAGTGAATATGTTTGGTCCCTTTGTCAAAGATAAGATGACTGAGTGCCTTTGTAGTTGTCTCTGCATCTTCAAATCAGTTCCACTGTTCTCAAGGGGAACTGTTTTTTGTCAATATTACGCTGACTGTATCACAGTAGCTTGGCAGTGTAATTTCAAGTCAGGGGTTGTGATGCCCCCTGCCTTCCCTTTGTTGCCTAGAACTGTTTTTGCTATTCTAGGTCTTTTCTATTTCCAAATTAATTTAGTAATGTTTTCTCTAGTTCTGTGAGGTGTGCTTGAGATTGCACTAAATCTATGTAATAATTTTGCAAGTATGACATTTTCACTATGTTGGTTCTTCCTATCCCTGAGCAAGGGCTATCTTGCCATTTTCTGATCTCTTCTTTGATCTCTTTTTTCAGAGAACTGTAATTTTCAATATATAGATCTTTTACTTCTCTTGTTAGATTGATTCCTCCATATTTCATTTTTTCTGGATGCTGTTGTGAAGGCTGTGGTTTCCCTAATTTCTCTCTCAGTGAATTTGTAGTTTGTGTAGCAGGAATGCTATTGATTCTTTAGTATTGACTTTGTATCCAGCCACGCAACTAAATTTGGTTATTAAATCTATATGTCTTGTGTTGTTCTTTGTAAACTATCATTACTTTACTTGAATTTTTTGTTTTCATTTTTGATGAAGGACATTTTTGATGGTGGCAGAAATCTGTTTTGGAGGTGCTCCCCTTTCTTTTTACTTAAGAAGGCTTTTCCATTGCATTTTGGCTCTGATGCAGTCAGCTGTCACTCACACTTGTTGTTCCTTGGTATTTTCTGTGTCACCACTTTTGAGATTTTAGACTCTGGTTTTGAGCAGGTTGCCTGAAGTGTGTAGGTATAGTTTTCAATCTATTCATTCCACTTGGGTTTTGCTGAGTTTCTGGCAGATTTAGATTTATGCATTTCACCAAATTTGGGGAAATCATGGCTATGTTAATTTCCTCTAACTTTTTGCCTGGTTTTCTTTTATCTTTCTTCTTCTGTCACTGATTCCATATCTGAGAAGGTTGTGCTATAGATTTCTGATATTTGACGCATTAAATTTCTTCTTTGTACTTCGGATTGGATCATTTCTGTGGATTCTCCTCAAACCAACCCTCTCCGTCCACTCTGCTGCTGTTACAGCCCTGAGGTGGTTTTCCCTCAGATATTCTTAGATCTGGGATTTGGGTGCACTTTGGCTTCTCCTGCTGCTCTTTTCTTTTATAATGGCTTTTATTGCTGACTTACCCTACTTTTTCATAAATTGGAGCACATTTCCTGTAACTCATTGAACACAAACATAAAAGCTGTTTTTTTTTTTTTTTTTAAATGTCTGTGAATAAGAATATCTGGCCTTTTTGTGTTTAGTCTGTTTTAGCCATCTTTTCCCTGGAGAATGAATCACATTTTTCTAGCTGAGCAGTTTTGCACTGTGCCTTGCCTATTTGAATGCTGTTTGGTAGAGTTTCTGAACTCTGTTACATTCCTCCAAAAGAGTGTTGACTTTTGGGGCTGGGGATTTAGCTCATCGGCATAAACGCCTGCCTTGCAAGCAGGCAGTCGTGAATTAGATCCCTGGTACCGATAAAAAGGAAAAAGACAAAAAAAAAAAAAAAGTGTGTTGACTTTCCTGTTGCCAAGAAGGCCTTTAACTTAGTTGAATTTACACTGAAAATGATTCCAAAGCTCACACCTCAGTTGGGTTGCACCATGGTTTGTGTATGCATCCATCCAAAAGCTATTCCACTGGAACTTAGGCCCTCAAGCATAGTAAGAGGTGAAGTGTGGCGGGATGACTAAGCCATAGGGTGAATGGGTTAATGCCCTTACTAAAGAAGCTTTGGAGAGGGTCTTCCCTGTGAGGACACAGCACACTGGAAGAGACCAGGCCTCACCAGTCACTGGACCTGCCAGTACTTTCATGACTTCTAGTCTCCAAAACTGTAACAAACAAATCTCTGTTCTTTGTAAGTTACGCAAGCCTTAGGGTTTTGATTTGTATCTGTTTTTGAGACAGGGTCTCACTGTGTAGTCCAGGCTGGCATTGAGCGCACAGCAATCCTCCTGTCTCAGTCTCCTGAGAGTGGGGATTACAGAAGTGCACCACCACGCCCTATTTTTTGTAGTAGCAATCCAGATGGACTAAGGCAGGCTGTCAGCATCCTAGATTAGGGTGTGTGTCATTTTTCCTGCACGGGCAGCCTGGCTTACGGGTCGGGGGTTGGGGCAGAGTTTCTTGCACATAATTTGGGACTCTTTCTCGGAGTAGCACTGAGCTCTGCTGCTCAGATATCCCGTGACAGACGGCCTGAGCCGCACACCCTGCATACTCATGGTCCTTGTGCCCACACCTTCATTGTCACTTGTGCCAGATGCAAGCCTCCCGTGTGGCAGTGCTTGGCTGAGGCTCCCATTTGCCAAGAGCCTTTGTTCCCCTCTCCTTGCACAGGAGGCTGATCTCCTCCCATGGCTTCTGCTCCCTCCCTGTCCTTCCTGTCCCTCTTTTTGGCTTCTAAGGCTAGGACTGAGGGCCTCTGCCATGGGCAGATGTTTAGCACTTGTGTCTGAGGGTCACCCGCAGGGTGATGAGATGTTCTTGTGAGGGATGGATGTAGGAAATCCACTCAGAAGAGGCTGACCTCAGGTTTTCCTGTAGCCACTCCAGGGTTAAGACCACACCCATGGGCTTGAACCCCAGGAGTGTGGCAGCACGTCTCACAGCAGGTCGGCCTGATGGGATCCTTTTCACAACACCGAGCTGCTAACCTGTACATCAGAATGGCTGCTGGAACCCTGGATGCCCTGATGCCACCAGGCTGAAGGCAGGCCTGGGGCTGTGGCTGGGTATAATGTAAGGGAGATGGATGGAGCCACGCCCAGGCTCCAGCTGGGGCTGCTTCTTGGGCCTGGGGAACTCATGCTGGGAACCTTGCCTTAGGGGAAGGCAAGCGCCCAGCTCCCAAGAGAGGCCTGGAATCTACAGTGAGTGCCCTGCCAGGAGGAAGTGGCAGAGACCTGCATGCCAGCTGTGGGGCACAGACAGACACGGTAGGGTTCTCATCCTTCCAAGGTGCCCTCCTTGAGGGAGACCACACAGATGGATGACAGTGAGGCTGGACAAAGACTTGGGGAGGAAGAAGCTCTGGAGGATGAAGAAGGCTTCTCTGGTGGTGCGGGGCCGTGCTCCAAAAAGAAGAGTGGTCTGGGAAGAGAAGTGGGGACAGTCGCTTCCCATCAGAGAACAGCGGGCCGGCTCCAGCCCAGATGGACTCCCAATGAGCATGGCCTTCGGTGGTGGTGGTGGTGGGCTGCAAGCCGTTGGGGAAGCGGGGTGGTGGGAACATAGCAGGTGAAATGACAACTACTTTAAATGAAACTTGTTTCTGTGACAACCAATTCTTAATTCACTCAAGAGGAATTTATTGGGGCACCTACTACAGGCACAAAATTGGATTAGAACCAGAAGTGCCCCATATTTCCAGTAAGAGCAGGCAGTGACTGTGTCACCCCACAGACTGATCGGGGTGTAAGGCACGGGCTGCTCAGTCCGCTCCTGGACTGAGGCCTGCCGGGCTTGTGTGCTGTCATCTGCTGTCGTTGAAAGATGGGATGTCAGAGCTGGAGGACGGAGCAGGAGAAGGCACTGAAGCTTGACTGCCCTGCGACAGCCTGGAGCAGTCTGGGGTGAGAGCAGCACCCGTGGGGGTGCCAGCGACCTGCTGGTGTGTGGCTGGTATTCCCAGGGGAGCCTGGCACAGCGGGGCTAGATAGCCACACTATTGGGGATCCGGTCGGGGGACAGGTAGTAGTAGGGTAGCTGCTTCTTCTTGTTGCGCTCCTCGATCACACGGACGATGGCCTCCAGGTTCCTGCGGAAGCGGGCCATGGCCTCCTTCACAGGCTTCTCAGTGAAGTGCTCTTCGGGGTACATGCCCAGGAACAACTGAGGCCGGACAGGGACAGACAGGCAGCTTAGTCTACTGTGGGACCCCATAAGTGGGTGGCCCTGCCCTACACTGGGAACCTGCTCCCCGAGGGAGCTTCTGCTCACTTCCCATTTCTTTTACCCTGTGAGACCTGCAGGAATGACAGGCACCAGAAGGAAACAACATGGATGAACTGGACATTATGTGAAGTGAAATAAGCCAGGCACAAGGGACAAGCGTGGCACGGTCCCACTAACCCGTGGAGTGTAAACCCCATAACGTTAGGCGATGCTACCTCAAGTCCGCTTCCCTGAAGAGGCTCCAGAGCCCAGGCAGGCAGGTTAATCTACAAAGGGCCACACCTACTGCTGTGGCCCAAGGGAGCCAGCAATGGTACAGCACAGTGGGACTGGCCGTGGTGTCCTGTGTGCAGCTCTCCTAGGTTCCAGGCCTGCAGGGTGTCAGGCAAGGGTGCAGGGCAAGGGCCTATGGGTCAGGCAATTGTAGGGCAGTGCCTTTGGGGATGGACGGCCCTGTGTGCATGTCCCTGCTCACACAGATGCCCGCACAGTAAGAGTGGACTGATCTATAAAAGCACTGTGAGTTATAAGACTAGAAGGTCTCAGCTGGGAAGGGCAGTGGGATTTGGAGTGAAATTCAGTCCTCATGACTTCTTGCTGTGACATTTCTCTGGCAGGAAGGCATCACACTGAGCCCAGGTGTGAGGATGGCCAGGAGGGGCCAGCACTGGGCTGGTGACTGGTTCCTGCCTCCTGGACAGATCCTGCCATAGCCTGTGTCCACCCCAAGGATCCCCATTTGGTGGTGAGGTACAGGCGTGCACTGCTGGACAGAGCCAGGACTCTTCTTTTCCTTCCCTTGGGGGCTAGGGATAACCACCCGGAAGAGCGTTGTCGCTGCTGGAAGTAGGATGGGGACATGGCACCCTCTGGTGGTAGTGAGTGGCACAGCGCCGAGCCTCTCCAACCCCGCCCACCACCTGTACCTCTTTCCCTCCAGGCTGACATTTATGCATCCGGTTTGCAGGACCACTTGGTGAAGCCTGTCCCCCAGGGGTGCCATCCCCGCCCGTGCGTTACCTCGTTCTCCTGCACCTGGCTTAGCGCCCACACAGCGCCCAGATGCCAGCATGAGCGGCCGCGGTCCGGCAGCGTCTCCACGATCTGCTCGATGGTCACCACACCCTTGGCTGTGGGCGGCGGGGCCCTCATAGTGGGGGGTGCATTGGGGATCCAGGAGCACCAGTCATACTGGGGACAACACAGACACCCGTGGAGCCCGGATTCCAGCTGTGGAGCTGCCTGCCACCACGCAGGAGGCACCTGCGTCCTACTGATCGCAGGAGTCCGGGCCCCTCCCCAGCGGGAACCCAGTCCAGAGCCCTGGGGAGGTAGCGCAGGGTGAGCCTTAGGTCGGGATCAAGCCCACTCACCTGCCCGAAGTTGACTGCCGCATGCTGCGCAGACGCAGTGAAGATGATCACGGTCAGGTACTCCGTCAGCTGCTCGCAGCTCCGCAGTGCCTTGGGGAAACCTGGGGAGCACGCGCGCTGTGAGCTGGGATGAACCCCCCCAACCCCACATAGGGCATCACTGCCGCGAGCTGAGCCTACCTGAAGCCTTGCTGCCCCGCAGGCCATACATGTAGACGTCCTTGGCGAAGGCCTGCAGCTCCACGTCCTCTGCCACCACCTGGTCACTCTCATAGTACAGGCCCACGATCTCAGCCACAAAGCTGGGACAGGGGTGGCAGGTCAGCTTGGGGGCCTGGGAGCTGGACTGGCTAGTCCTGGGCTCCTCCCCCGGGTCTCCCTCCCTGTGGCGCAGTCCCTCTCACAGTCCAGCCCACAGGGCTTTCTAGCCCTCCCTCCGGACCCCCACGTCATCCCCCAGGCCCAGCCCCCTGCACCTGCGGATGGCCTCCCACACCAGCAGCCCATCGTCGCGGTAGAAGTAGTAGGGGATGTCCTCGGCACTGTCCATGCCGCGGGCCCGGATGTCCTCCGGGAAGCACAGTGAGGTATAGGTCAGGTCCTTCATGGCGCGCTGCACCATCTGCACGTGCCCGCCGCCACCCGTGGCATTGGCCTGAGGGAGGGGGCACCCCTGAGCCAGTGCCTTGGGCACTGGGCCAGCAGGGTGGGGACGCAGGGCAAACCGTGTCGGGGGTTTGCAAGAGGGATGACCAACTCAAGAAGGTCAAGCTCCAGGCGCACCTCCTAGCAGCACCTGGACCCAGGTGGGTGGAGGCACAGGGTTGGGGGCACACCTTGTCGAAGAGGCCGTACTCGCAGATGAGCTGCTCGCGGGCCTTGGTGTTGATGGCGATGGTGAACCGGACGTGAGCCACCAGCAGCTGAAGGACAGGGAGCGTTAGGGAGGGCTGCCACTGCTCCCCAGCCCAGCCTGAGGTTCAGGTTTTCCTGCAGAGGAACTGCGGGGGGTCTGGGCGGGGCTTCAGTAATGGCAGCGATGTCATTGGCATTTGACTACTGCCTTGCCCTCTGGAGAGGTTTTCCAGGGTTCCAGCTACTCCCACCTACCATCCTCTGCCCCAAAGCAACTAGCCATACCTTGAAAATGGGGTGCACAGCCGGCAGCTGGCGGTACAAGGCGATGCCAAACACCTCGGACACGAGGTGTGTGCGCAGCAGGTGGGTGATGGTCTGGTGCACATGAAAGTCGCTGGAACGCACCCAGATTTTGGCCAAAAGCCAGTCGTATTTTGCATCGGAAGGGAGAAAAATGGGGTTCTCCTCTCCTGGGATTTGGTTGAGCTGATAGGATGAAGAGAAAAAAGGTGTTGGTGTGTTTTGCTCCAGAGGAGCTATTGGGAGAAGCTGCCTTTTGGGAAACCCAGAAGCACCTAAACATCTTCAGCAACAACTTTCAGACCACAGGAAGAGCATGGAGGTCCTCGGGGGTCCAGGGCTGGTGCTTCCTGCCCCAGCTCAGCTACATCACTGAGAATCTGAGTGCTTGTCTGGTCTTTGGCTCTTCCTTCCAGGACAGGGGTGCTGGTGGAGGTGGCCTGGGCACTGCCTCAGGAGAGGGGTACAGTGGCCATATCCCCATCCCACCCGATGTGTCTCCCTCTCCTCTAGGGTCTCCTTGGTGGTTGGCTCTACCTTTTGCCCTCATGAATTCCTCCTGTGCCTAGTACTCCAGGGCCTCTTACAGCTGAGTCCACTGGGGCCTGATCAGACTGACCGCTGGGCCTGGGCTGCTCCAAAATGCAAGTCAGGTTGTGTTAATTTCCTCTTGGTCACTTTTTAAAAAATCGCAGTGCTGGAGAAGGAAGCCAGGGCCTAAGTGCTTCTCTTACTGAACGCGTTCAGTTCAGTTCCTGACAGTGCAGCCCTGGGGCACCCAGGAGGCAGGAAGGTGCTAGCCCTACTGCAGGAAGCCTGGAGGATTGGCGTCACCCCAGGTGCTGAGCCAAGAGTGAGAAACGGGCTTTGAGGAGCTCTGGAGCTTAGAGAGGGGGTAGTTGGTTCGAGAGCATGGAGGGACAGCTGTTTTACACTTGGCTTTGTCCTGTAGGGATCTGGCAAGTTGTCTCTCAGTCCAAAACAGTGTCAAGAGAAATGGGATGCCAAGCCCGCAGACACTGTCAGCTATTCCGCATGCCACATTTTAAAATGTAAACAGAAACAAGTGAAATATAGGTTAACAATATAATTTTATTTTACCCAAGATAGCCAAAATATCATCTCAGTATGAAGCCAAGTTTAAAATTTCTCAAAAATATACTCCACATATTTTCCTCTCATTCTTTGAAATCTGGGCTATTAATACATGTGGAGCCTTTTGCTTCTCTTTTGTGTGTGTGTGTGTTTTTTTCTCTTTTAAATAAAAAGTAGAACTTCAGTAGATCTTCTAATTATGTAATTCTTACCAAGAGTTTTGAAAGTGCATGAAGTACTTGTAAAAACAGTGTTTAAAAAAGAGATGTAGTGACCACTCTTCTCGGCTTTCAGTTTGCAGGGTATAAACACTATACATATCTATCCTGTGTCTTGAAGCTATATTTCCTAATATGTAATTAAGAAGCAAAATAAAAGGTGAAAAAACAAACCTGTTGATATCTCAAAGTAAAATACTGCAAAAATTCCAAATATCAAGTCACAAAAACAATTTAAACTCCGTAGATGCCTTAGAACAAAATTGAATGCCACTTCCACATTCCACTTAGCATATACTTAGCCCCAAAGCCAAACAGGGCACGTCATATGTTAATGTATTATCTGACCAAAAAATATATATATGGTGAATATATCAATGTAAAATTTTATTACAGTAAAAAACACATTTCCATTAACCCCCTCAAAATTCTTCCTTTTGCTTTGAACACATTTATTCCATCACCCTTACCACTTTCTGAAGCAGTCCTGGAAGTCCTTTTTCATGAGTGCCATGGTGAGGAATGATCAGCAGTGTGGTAAATGCTGCGGCCAAGTGTCATCCGACAGAAAGGCCGGCTCATACCGATACCACAGTGTACGCTTACCCATCTTATTCACTGAATCTGGCACTGTGAGACTTCTGGCTCTTCTCCAAAGTAAAAATAATCAGAAAAGTAAATGAGAGCAACTAGACACTCAGGAACGAGGAGCTCCAGAATGGCTTCAGAAAGGGATCAGAACAATGGGATAAGTGTGTCCAAAGCAAGATTATTTTCATGGGGACTCATAGCAATGGCCTTTTACTGTAATAACTTTTAAAAATATGAGCATTCAAATATTTAGTATATATATATATTTAGTATATACATATGGGATATATATATACATACATATATATATGTATATATATATAAAATCACAATTGTACTTTGCAATCACAGTGGCTCTTGACGTGGACCACATAAGTCTCAGCTCTGACACTGGGCAGGGACAGGGCAGCTCTGGGGGCCTCCCTGGCTATTCCCAGAGGATGCAGAGAGGGTAGGAGAGCAGAGCACCTGCTGTTGTATACAGTGCTGTTTATGAATGGGCTTAGCTGTCAGATAACTTCAGGTAAATTTTGGATCACCAGGTAGGACGCTAGAGAACTCCATATCATATTCCCCTTACAGGGACCTAGATGCTGGGACTGCAGGACAGTGTCTGGCCTCTACTTTCACTTTTATCTGTCTGTTTTATTACCTTAACATTTTGGGTCAGATCCCTGGTCAGCTCTGTGTAGAGGCATGTTCACCACTTAAGGAGTGTCTTGGTTACTCTTCTAGCTGCTGAGACAACATAGCCAACACCCAGAGTTTAAGCAGGAAAAGTTTATTTAGCTCATAGCTTGTAGAGATTTTAGCCCATAGTCAGCGGCGTCCAAAGCAGGGTGGCACTGCAGGGGGCATCACAGAGGAGGAACAGACCATGGCAGGGAAAACAGAAAGCAGCTAGCAGCAAGATATAAGCAACTCTCTTCCTGTCTCATATTTTATCCAGGCTACCAACCCTTAGTTCATTTCTAAGCATACTTAAAGACAACAGTTTCGGCATTGGTGAAAAGTCAAATTCCAAAGTCTATTCTGATATTTCAGTCAAACTCTCAGCTGTACAAATGAAAAGAAAGTTAAACACTTCCAACATACAAAGGCACAAGATAAATGTTACCATTCCCAAAGTTACAGATAGGATGTTACAGATGGAGCAGGACCAAAGCAAGCCCAAAATCCCTCAGGGAAGACATTAAATCCTGTAGCCCCACTGCAGCATCCAAAGCACTCTGTGGCAAGATGTGAACTCCAAAGGGCTTGGGTGGCTCTTCCCCGTGGCACTGCCAGTGGTGGTTGTAGCTCCCATGGCTTCTTTCTTGGGTCAGCTCTGTTTCACACACTGCCCTCTCAAGAGCACACTGTCTGACCTCCGAGGCCTTCTCCTGAAATCTGGGTGAACGCTTTCTTGACTCCACAACTCTTACATTCTGCAAGCACCTAAAACAAGCACTGTATGGATGATTCCAAGGTCTGCTACCAGCTGGAGCAGTAGCCAGGCTTCCTCCCTTCTTTCTTGGTTATAGAGGTCCAATGCCTGTGAACTAAATCCAGAGGAACAACTTCCTTTTGCCACCACCATTCTGGAATGGTGTTCTAGGGTCTCTTCTCAAAGCAAAATCTTTCACTTTTGCAACTCCAAAGCTGCAAAAGTTAGAGTCCTGCTGGTTCTTGTGATGTCCTCAGGCCATCTATTGACCCTTTCTGAAATACTTGGTTTTTTCTTGCTAGTCTTATTAGGGTTCAGTTTCTTCTTTATTCCATATTTGTGGGTCATAACTTTATTGGGGCTTCCTTTCTTGGCCAAACTCAAAATGCTTTAAATCATTTTGCTGGCCTCTTTAATTCTCAACATAAATCTGGCTAAAAGCCCCATGCCACAGCCTCAACATTAGACTGTCTTGAAATATCTTCTGCCAGGTTAGTTTGCTTCCCTTAATCTCATTCTCAGGCAAAGTCTCTGGACACAAGCAAAATGCAGACAGACTTTCTACCAAGGCATAACACTCACCACCTGGAGTCCAACAATCAATGCAGTCCTTTTTCCTAGCAGACAACTCCTGGTCCTGGCTTCTCCTGGCAGCATTTCTGCCAGTGTTCTGGTCTTTGGAGCTCTGACCAGAATCTCCCATCAAGTACGGCTTAATGCATTCCAAGGCTGCTTCTTCAGTCAACCTCTCCAAACCTCTCCAAGCTCCACAAGCCAGTCCCAAAGGTCCTACACCACATGATTGGGTGCAGTCACAGCAATGACCCTACTTCTCAGGTACCAAACTGTGTCCTAGTTATTTTTCTGTCCTTGCTGAGACAAAAATATCCAACACCCAGAGTTTAAGGAGGAAAGGTTTATTTAGCTCACAGTTCATAGTTCAGTTCAAGGCAGGGTGGCATGGCAGAGGGGCATCACAGAGCCGAAAGCAGAAGGTAGCGAGCCACAAGCAACCAGCAAGCCTCTTCCTGTCTCTTCTGTTTTGTTCAGTCTAATACACGCTTAAGCCTAGCATCACACTATGAATCAATCCCAGCATCACATCCTTGATCCAGCCTGCTCTAAAAAGCTCCAGCTATGACTGCATGAGTCTTTGGGTTGACATCTAGCTACAAGCCAGAACAAGGAGATTCTGTTTAATAACAGAATACAGGGTTTATTGGTCCTACATTTACATGACCTTTTAATTTCCTTCAAAACCAAGGCCATAGGTATTAATAGTAACTAAGGTCAAGATTTTGAGAGTCATCCAATTGCCAACTTCGACAGTGTCCTGCTCCATACCCCTGGAGTGGTGCCTAAATTCTCCAGTGTCCTGAGTCTGTACTCATCTTGAACTCCAGGAAAGGCAGAGTCTGCCCCCATCTCACAGGACCTAACTGCCGCTTCAGGCCATCAGGACTTCTCTGGAGCCACCACAAAGAACCAGTTCTGAGCTCACTGCCAGCCGGACCACAGCTCAGCCAGAAACACCTAGCCTGCCCACTGTCCAGTCTCCTGCTAAATGAACCTCAACCCTTGTCTTTGTCTTCTTTTCCATGAAACCTTGGAGTTCCTCAGCTCCTGGAAGACAGATCTGGGCCCTGTCTGTGCATCTGGCACAGCTGTGCTGACCCAGTTCCTGTCCCACCTCCCCACTGCTGGGTCCTTGATGGTGTATCAGGGCAGATGGTCCCCAGACTGCTGGGACCCTAGAAGCTGGGCTTTTGCCTAAAATTGCACTAACATTCTCACAGAACAATGCTCTTCCTCTTTGAAAGGGTCCCAGTGTTCACAGCCCTAAGCTCCCCATCTACCCGCTGCATCATTCACCAGCATCATCTGTGAGGCTGACAGACACCCATGGCTGGGCCCTGCCTAGAATGTTGGTGCAGTGTGATGCCCGCCTTGGAGGAAGGAAAGCATTTCCCTGCAGACCCAGTTAACCACAAATGGATCCCAAGACCTCTCAGGGAAACTGCCATCCTAGCACCCACCCACCTGCATGCTTAAAGGTGCATTCTCCCTGCCCCTTCTCGCTGTGATAATCTATCACTTTGTAGTAAACTCTGCCCATTCTCTGATTGCCTATGTTTCTTATCTGAGACCTTTCATCAAAGACACAAAAGGCTGAGGAGTGCCGTGGGTCACTGCCATGTTAGGACCCAGCTTCCCAGTCACAACTCTGTGTCCTGTGTCTCCCACACCCACACAAGCATTTTCTCATGTACAGAGTGTCCTGGATTCTTGCATCCATTTGCACAGATAGGACCCTGTTATTTATAACAGTCTCTGAGTCTTGCCTCTTGACTCTTTCTATATGTGGCAGAAACATCTTCAAGTCAGTGGGGATAGGTCCTGCACATTTGTGTTGAAGTGACAATTGTGGCCTGGCCATGGAAGGTCATTTGACCTGTCCTCTCTGCTTCAGAGTGTTTTTAAGTCCTTTTCTCCCATGGGCAGTGCGAATCATCTTCCTCTCTGCCACAACAATGTTCTGTCCCCAGCACTCCAGCTGCAGGCATAGGGTGTGCCAGTTGGGTAGAGTGCCCTCTTGCTTCCAGAAAGCCTGCTGCACTCCTGTTCTGTGGTACCCTTGTTGGGTATCAGGACACTCAAATAATTAACAGTCTTGGCCTAGATGCCTAACCCAGTCCTCCTACAATGACCCTGGCTATGGCAGCGCAACCCATGATTCTTATATTGCCCACTCTGAAATCTAGAACCACAACAGGTACGCTGGGTTCCCAGGTGCTGCAGGACCTGTGCAGCTGCTGGCCCGGGTATAGTACTGGTGGCTGCGCTGCGGACACCCAGGTCTCATGCTGCAGATACTTCCCCAGGCTGCCGGGCAGCATCTGGGGTGCTATTGTTGCTGGCGGTTGGGTGTTCGCCAATTTTTGTTTTTACCCACCTGGTATCTTGTTCTTAACTTTAGTTTGCATTTCCCTAACAGCTGGCTGAGAATTTTCCATATTCTGATGGTCAGATTTCCATTTCCTCTTCTAGGAAGCACTTGCATATGCTCTGCCCATTGTTCTAGGAGATGTTTGTCTTATCAGTCTGCAGGAGCTTTTTGCATGTTGCATGCTAATGATATTTACACTTTAAATGGCATGCAGTTATTTTCCTCAATCTATTGCCACCTTCTGGCTTTTCTTGTGGCGATTTTGCCATTCAGTATTTAAGACTTTCTGCCAAGTGTGCCCACTTTGCCCTCAGAACTTCTTGGCTTCTTGGTTTTAAAGTCTCCTTAGTCCACACATGACCCACTGTCTCCTAGCTCCTCTTTCACTGTCGTCTTTACTCATTGCCTGTCCTGTCCTGTCTGTCTGCAGCAATCAGGCTTACCAGTGCCCTCACTGGTCCTTCCTATCCCGAAAGGAAAGTGCTCTGTGGGGAATTGGGATTATTTTCCTGGTGTTCCTTTAAAGCCCACAGTCTGCTGAGTGGGGAATCTAACTTCCCTCTGTGTAAGCTACACCCCAGAATCACACATCCATCACTGGATGATCCAACCTCTTGTCATGTCCAGAAGAATACCACGTTTCCCATCCCCACAGGATGCCACAAATTCCTCTCAAGCACAAATATACATATTTCATTCTGACTCCCTTTATTCCTGACACCAGGCAATGCCAACACATATGACAGTTAATTCCCAGACATCCCTCCTCAAATATAAAAATCTTAGCCTGTCACCCTAAGGGTATGATGTCCAGCCCCAGACTGGCCTGCAGCCTCAAGCAGATATTTTTATTTATGATTTTAATGAAAAATGGAGTTTTATAATTTAAAATATATTCAAAACAACAATTTTACAATAAGGAAAATCTTTAACCAAAAATCCACAGCTACACATCCTTAAGTGTACTAAGATGGTCACATTTAATTATCTTATTAACATTAAAAAACATGTTTTTCTCTTTATTTAATCAGAATGAATTTCAAGTTTCAGCAAATAGGGTAAGATTGTATTGCTGAATAAAGTCTATATTTCAATTCCAAAAAATATGTGAGTGAAGTTGAAATAAATTCTTTAAAGTTATAAAAATGGAGCGTTACCTTTTTTAGTGATATTTACTGTGAACTGACAGTCACAGCTTTGTCTGCACTGGTGGAATGAGCCACACGTGGCTCTCCTGAACCTGAACTATCTACAGTAGCCACTTCCTTGGAACCTTTGCTCATCACCACACTGCTGTGCTTGCTTTGCTTTAGATTTCTTTTTAAATCCCAGATGGTAACTCAGCTTGATTTGCAGCTTCCTTTTGCAGCCCATGTGGGTCCTGTTACAGAACTCGCACTCCACTAGCAGCTGGAAGGAATCTGGGGGCTGATGAGCTTTTAAGGGCTCTGGAAACACTGCCTAATGGGCCGCTCAACCCAGTGCTCAGAGTGCTGCAGCTTCCACTCCAGAGTTTAATCAAGTTTCCAGCTACTGACATGGAGACTAGCCTGTCCTCTACAGTTTCTTCCATTTACATTTTCCTAGCTTAAAAAAAACTTCTAGCTTATCTAATTTTGTTGTCTCACGATTACTGTTTAAAAATTGCAAACTCTCAATTATTCTTTTTAATGTCCAGGGCCTGGTTTCCTCTCTAGTCTGCCTTTCTTTCCCCTGCACCCTCAGGAGGAGAGCTTTTCCAAGATATTTCAAAGACCTGGATTTTAAATTCATTGTTCTCTGATTTTTATCTGTGTGGGTCTTGGTATTTGCATGTTTTCCATTTTCAGGACAGGAAAGAGACTCTGGAAGCCCCTGTGGTGGACCAACGTCCAGGCTGCCAACAGAAGGCCAGAGACACTTGTCATGTGTCAGCTGTCACTGTCCCTTCCCCTACCCTGTTTGTCAGGCTCAGATTTGCCTCTGATAACAGGCTGTGCCCCTGCCCAGGTGCTGGTGGGGGCCAAATGTGGCAGGGCAGATTTGCCTGTCCTGGCAGGGCGAGAGGATCCTGGGAGTAGAGTCCTCCCTCCTGGGTGGGTACTTCACAGGGGCAGAGGTCCTCCTGCCTCTTTCCTGAATCTCCTCTTCCTCAACAGGGGTACAGGATGGAGCCCCAGGAAGCCTGTTTCTGCCTACCTGGATGGCAAGGGGCACGATCTTGTTGGCCAGGTTCTTGTACAGCAGGCAGATGGGCGCTGCCAGGAACTGGTGTGTGCAGGGGTCGGTTTTGTTGGCGTCAATGCCATCAAGCAGCTCGTAGTCCACGATGAAGATGTTGCCCTTCTAGGGGAGGCAGACAGGCCGGGTCACTGTTTGCCGAATGAACTCAGTGTGGGATGGGGTGGGCAGGGCTGCTGCTGTTTGGGGGACTCCCTCCCCATTCACCCCAGGAGCTCAGGGACTTAAGGTCACAGTGGGCCACCCTTGCTACGGGCAGACTGGGCAGTGGGAAGCCTGACAGGCGAGTTCCTGGGTGTCAAGTCCACAGGTCACTGACACTTCGGGTGACACCAGTGCCAGCTGTGAGGAGTCAAAGGTGCACGCCAGGGGTGCTGCTCCCTAAGCCCAAGGTGACTTGGAGTGGGGCAAGGGGCACTGGGAGGGTCTGCGACCTCCTGGACAGGGTTGGGATGTTACTATCACCACTGCCTACCCTGTGCATGTACCCTCCCTCCTCCCCACTCTACCAATTTCCTCCCCTGGAGAGTGTGGTGCACATGGCTGTGCTGCACGTGGGCGGGACATGGGGTCCCTCTGCTCTGTGGGAGGAAGGCACAGCCTGTTCCTGTCAGGAGCTGTGCCCAATGCCGTTGGTGTGCAGGGCACCTGGCACCCAGGTGGAACCAAGGCCAAATGGGGTGTGTCCCTTGTCTCAAGCTGTCCAGTCACTGTGCTGGACATCACCACTGACTGTGGCCTGGTTGGCCTGGCTGGCCTGCTGCGGTGATCTCCACCGCAGTGATCTCCACTCAATGGGTCTTGGCTTTCTCAGCAGAGGTCTTTCGCAGGACACCAGCTGGCCAGGAGGATGGAGCAGAGACATCTGGGACACTTGGGAACAGGGACTTTCTTTCTGGGAGTGGGTGGTCGCTAAATGGATGGAAGCTGAGTCTGAAGTTGGTGTCACCTTGGCCCCATGGAGGAGACCCCTTGAGGACAATCCCCCAGGGGCAGAGTGGGGGTGGGGGTGGGGACAGTCTTCCTCTCCTTCCCATGGGCTTGCACCCAAGCCTGCCTTCACAGCTGCCTTCACCCTCGCATTTCCTGGGGTAAGCCAGACTGAGTTCATTCACTCAAAACCAAAGAGCCTAACATAAAGTCTAAGACATACAGCAGGCTTGAAGGGCTGTAACATCAATCAAAACCACAGTGATACATAAATTATTGTGTATCAAAAAAGAAGAAATTTCTCTAATTCTGTTCCAAGAATACACTGCACAGGTAAAGATAAAACCAAACCAAACTGAACCAGTTTTAGGAGTTTTAGCATGCTATGGCTTACCACAGATTGCCAAGAGGCCGCCAAAAGGAGGTGGCAGGAGCTATGGGCTGTGTCCAGTGGGGAGGGGAGTGGGGAGATACCAAGGACTGATGTTGGGGCCATCAGTGCCCTGGGTAGAAGGTGCCTGACACTGGGTTCCACCAGATGCAGAAGGAGTAGGTTTGATTCTTCTCTGGCTGCCTGGGAACTGACAGACTGGGAAAGGCTGGGGTGAGGCTGGGGCGGAATGATACCAGCATTTTTTATTCTTAGAGAATTTAAACTGTGTCCTTGCACCAAGCCTGCTCCTTTCTCTGGCTTCCTCACAGGTGGGTAGTGATTTGAAGACAGTGTGTGCAAAGCACCTGTCACGTGCTGGGCCCACCATTGGCCCCTGGCCAGGGGCAGTGCTTGTAATTGTTGACTTTGACATTGAAAATTGTGGTATTAAGTTCCCAGATGCAAGCATCTGGTGAACAGTCCTTCACAACCTGATCCATGAGGCCCAAGACAGCTTACACCAGGCCTAGGACCCTCATCAGCTCCGCTGTGGAAAAGGAAGGGGCTGCCAGCCTTACAATCTCACACTGGTGGCCAGCCAGTGAGGCCTGGAGGTAGTGCCTGGGGACCAGCTGGCACGGAGGTGGCTTTCAAGACCCCACCAACAGGCCCTACCTGGATCTCCTGCTCCAAGGTGAGCTGCCGCTCCAGGCTGCACTCCACCATGTCCGTGGTCACTGGGAGCTTCGGAGGCAGCTGTGTGCAGCGCCGGATGAGGACAGGGTTGCAGCCATTGAGGAACTGGTAGCCGAACATAAGGTCTTCCTGCCAGTGTTGCATGACACGCTCTAGGGAGGAGGACGGGCCACTGAGCTTGAGCAGAGCATGCCAAGGCCACAGCCCTGCCAACACTGCACCAGAAAAGACTCCTTTCGGGGCCCCTGTCTTGGGCATTGGCAGACCAGCTGGCCACAGGCCACACCTGCTACGGACAATTGCTGTGAGTACCACCTGTCAGGCCCTAATGCCACCTGTACTCCCCTACTGGCCCTTGGTGGCTTCAGAGTCCGGGGTACCCACCCCTCCCAAATTTCAGCTCCTCCTTCAGCATGGTGGGGAGGGAGGACACTGGGGAGGAGTTGCCCAAGGTCCTTCCTGTGCTCTCTTCACTTTCTTCCTTAATTCCTGTGACCAATGTGTCCTTCTGATGCCACCACTGCCCACTGAGGTCCCTGTATCCTCATAGGTAGGGCTTTTGGAAGGTGACTGGGTCACAGGGTGCAACATGCATCAGTGGCTTAGTCCACAGGTGAAGTTACTGCTAAATGTGATGCTGAGAGGTGAAGCCTGGAGGTGGGGGTGGGGCACCGGGGGTGTGGTCTGTCCCCAAATCCCAGAGCCCCTTGCAAGCTCACCGGAAATGGTGTTGCTGATCTTGACGAAGATCTTCTCGAAGTCGGCGAAGTCGCTCCAGGAGGACTGGAACATGTGCATGAAGCGGTTGATGAACAGGTTCTCCATCCTGGCGACAGACAGGCGGCACTCACACGGTGCCGGGCCCATAGGGTCCCACGTAGGTAGCTGCTTTGTGGTACCAGGACATCTCTGGACTTACTTCCATGCATTGCTCCTTGGAGTCAGCTCCAGCCCTGCTCATCCCCCAGACATCTGCAGCCAGTTCTGTGTGCACCTTCAGGGAGCAGCTCCCACCCAGGGCCTTGCCTTGGGGGTGTGCGGGTCACTCACTGCCTGCCTGAACCTAGCTCTAGGCCTGGTGCTAAGCAGGACACAAGCTCAAACCCTCATTATGCAGCACAGCCCTGCAGGAACCAGGCCAAGGAACTTGCCAAGTTCACATGCAGGCTGCAGATAACAGAGGGGAAACATGTAGTTTCCGTGATGCCCTCGTGGGGTGAGACCGGAAAAGGTGGAGAGGGGGTCAACCTTCCCCAGCCTCCTACACCTCCCAGGACAGAGGCTGGGTGACCTTGGCCAGGCCTCACTGTGATGCACCCTCCCTCAGTCTCTCTGTGGCATGCACATCAGAGGAAAGGAAAGAGGCCAGGAGACACAGGGGCATGTGGTCAGGCTAAGTGGGAAGTCAAGGGGCTCCTTGCAGAATCTGAAGTTGGGGGTTCAGGCCAGAGTGGACCTGGATGATGGAACAGAGGACTGAGACTCGTCAAGTTTGGAGAAGCGCCTTGTGGCCATGTGTGAGGTAGTCAGCAAGGCAGGCTGTGTGCAGGAGAGCTGTAGGGTATTAGGGGGAGTTGGGGCTTATTTGGGCATCAAGTATGGTTGCAAGGAAAGGTGTTGAGCATGCAGTTAACAAGGCTTGGTGTCTTGGGACCCACCCAGGGGAGCACACTCCTGGGTTTGTCTGGGTGAGTCACAGGAAGGCGGTCTTAGGGTCCCGTCTGAACCCTGTCCCTTTTCTCTCTGGCACTGTTGCCTGCTCTCCTTCCTGGCTGCCATGAAGGGAGTACCTTTCCTTCATTGCACCCTTGCACCATGATGTTCCTGTCATGGAGCCAACGGCACTGGACTGACTCCTCCAAAACCATGAGCCAAATTAGCTCTCTCCTGCCTTAAGTCTGTATCTCAGTGATAGGAAAGTGACTAACTGGTGCTTGCATCACTTTGGTCTTTGTGGGGAGGAAAGCACATTCCCATCTATGACTGTTCTTCAACCCAGGCAGGAAGGGCAGCCTCACCAGTGGCCCAGGAATGTGATGCCCCAGCTTGACCCCTGAGTACCTGGACACCTCCTTCCTGGACCAGCTTCCTGCTGAGCTGATTGCCCTGGGCAGAACCCCTGTGCAGCTTGAGGAGTTGGACCCCCTGAGGTGTCCTTGGGGGTAGAAAGGACTTATTTCTGTGGGAGGAGACACCCTTTGGAGCTCGAGGGGGGCCCAGCAGCACATGATATGATCTTGTGCCAGGGTCCTCAACCCAGGGAGCTTCTGGGGAGCTGTGATGAGTCACAGCCTCCCCAGCTTGGCCTCTGACCCCAAGATGGAGGCTGGCACTGAAGTGGGTGGGGCGTAGTCAACCTCAGGGGAAGCCATGAACTCAGGGAGAAGTGGGGTTGGGAGGGGACCATTTGCCTGGCATCTGGAGGCCAAATTCTTTCCATATTTACAGATAACAGAATACCTAGGATTTCAAAGATCTGTGTTTGCACAAAAAAAGGAAGCTGTAGCCTGGACAGCACACCAGGCTGGCTCAAAGGGCACAGCTAGGCAATGTTATCGTTAGGTGACAGCCTGGCCAGGTAAGGACACAGCTTGCAGGTGCCCCATGCCCACCCCACAGCCTTTCCTATGTGAAGCCTGGATGGACACCAGCTGTGGCTAAGTGCCCACTTCCCCCAGCTGTGCTCCCATCTCCCAGTTCTCCTTTTCCACCTCGGGGTTCTGCCATTGGGGTGCGCATAGAGCCCATGGGGCAGTGCTGGCCCCTTTCCAGGCACAGCAGATGGCTCGGAGGAAACACTCATTTCCCAGAAGTGGCCCAGTAGCCAAGCTGCCCCTTGGGGGGGTAGTGGGGGTTTGACGGGGAAAGGCTCCATGGTGACACTGGTCACAGGTTTCCGCTTTGCACCAGGGGTGGGGACTTGCTTGACCACAGCAGGGCCCACGGGGTCAAAGCCTGGTCCTAGGCACATGGGCTCTCAGAGTCCCAGAGTGGGGTCTTGCATCGCAGAGTTCCCATCCCTCTGCTGTGTGCACAGGGTCTGAACATGGACACTGGTAGGCTGGCCTGCTGGGCACAGGCTCTCACCCGGGAGCAGGTTGGCACCGAGTCCCCAGTCTCACTGTGCTGCCACCCCCCCTCTGTTATGTGGACCGGAAGTGTGCTGCTGGCCACAGGGTCGGGCTGATATCCAAGAAGCAATGGAGTAAACAGTGACTCTGACTGTACTTTTACTTCCTGTTAAGTCTGCAACCCCAGCCCTGTGTTCTGGGACCTGCTGGTGAAGGCCACAGTGCCCAGCGGCCCTATTCCCCTAGGCCACCTCACATTTCTTCTCCTTTCTTCCCCCACACCCAGTTCTTCATCTGAGGACTCCTCTGCCCCCTTGGAACCAGTGCCCACGGTGGCCACTTCCATAAGCCCTGGGCAGTGGGAAGCCCCTGGCTTAGGCGAGCATCCCACCCTTGGCCTGTCCTTTTTGACACCTTGAGTACCAGCTTCCATGGTCCCACCTGTCCGGGCACACGCTTGCCTCTGTGCAACCCCCTGCCTCAGACTTTGGTTACACATCCCTCCTAAGGCCCCAGCCTGGTCCCTCCCTGCCAGGGATCTGATGACCTTCTATGCTTCACTTCTGCACAGCCACCTGGGACGCACCTCCCCAGAGCTCATGGCTACTTTCGGTGCCGTGTGCCTCCAGCCTTGGTCCTGCTGCCCCCTTTCTTCCTCCTCTGTGGGACTGGGCACTGTCCCCTGCTGCCACCCAGCCTGGCCCTTCTGCAGCTCTCTCCTCATAGCTGTTCCCGCCTCTCTCTGGTGCCTGCATCTTCCATGCACATTCTGTCACCCTGGAGTCCCTTCCAGCCTGGTAAAGTTACTCTGAATTTGCAACCTCAGCACGTCTGGCATCTTTGAATCAGCACCTGTGACCCTAACCCCTAATTCCTGTTGGTTTTAGCTGCCAGCTGCTCTGTTTGGTAACAGGATGAGGAGAACGTGAGCACCGATTCTTATTTAAACACTGATTCTTATTTAAGAGCTCTCAGTTCACATCTGCAATGCAAAGCACAGGCCCCAAGACACAGACAAGGACACTCCACTCTCAACCCCAGACCATCTGTGTCAGAGTGAGTGGAACTCTGGTCGCTTCTCCTGGGCTCCATCCCATCCAGTGTGGTCCTGCACCGCAGGAAGGAAGTTCTGTCTCGACATCCTTCAAAGTAGACAGCACCTTATCAGCCTGGATGTGGGCACACAAGGAGCCACCAGGAAATGTCACAACCCAGCTGTCCTGTGAGTGCAGTCAGACTGTTCCTGCCCCACAGTGCCCACCTGCTTCTTCCAAGCTAGTGATGAGGCCAGGCGCCCTCGACAGTGATGTCTTCCCAGCCATCAGAGAAGGCCAGTGGAAAACAGGTCCCTAGCACCCTTGGGTGTGGTCAGATGTCAGTCTCTGATGTGTACAAATGTCCCCTGGCATGGCCCTGCCACCCTAGGGTGGACGATATTTGACCCAGGGTCCTAGGCCTGGCCTCTTTAAGGATGGCCTGCAAAAGCCCAGCAGCTCAGAGCTCAGTATCTGCCACTGTCCTCGAGGGGCCTTGGCCTTGGTGCTGGATGTGTCCTCCATAGCTTCCCCAACTGCAGAGTGGCACCGACGTGGGTGGACAGGGAGGCTTAACACCCACTAGCACCAAACCGTGACATCTTGGCCATAGTCCGGGCCCAGAAGGGCAGCCATGTGAGCAGTAACAAGGTGTCCTCTGGAGGAACCTGGAGTTAGAGTCCCCTGGCCTTGACCATGTGGACACAGGTCATCCCGGCGGCTGGGCACGGAGGACCCACCCTGTAGCTAGGACAATAAAATGAAGCAAGAGAGATCCAGGCCCCTCGGGAAGCTGAGGGGACGCTGCCCCTGCCACAGCCACTGCAGTGTTTGGAAACTCACGCTTTGGAGTAGTTCAGGACGAAGTCCACACCTTTCTCGCAGTCAAACTGGATGTCACGGGGTAAATCTTTGTAGCACTTGGCGTCTATACTCAAGGGGAAGCCCGGGTTCCACTCCATCCACCTAGTGGGCAAAGGAGAAGCAACCCTGATTAAAACCAGGCTGTGCATTAGCCCAGAAGCCAAAGGTGGCCTTTGTTGTCACTGAAGTACCCATGACATGGTTAGTGTGACGTAGTCAAGGCCAACCCTGCATCCATGAGGGCCGGTGAGGGAAACAGTGTCACTCGTACAGGTGTGACAGGAGAAGGAAGCCTTGGAGACCTCCTTCATTGGCTCCAACCCTGTCCCCCAGCAGAGCCCGCTGTGCCCACCCAGGAGGCAGGAGGGTGTCATCTATCATGTCACCCCAGCAGGACATCAGCTTGGTCTGTGTGCACCCCTGGGCTGTGTGCATGTCTTGTTTATGGTGGCTGGGAAGCTCTCACACCAAACAGCAGGCCCAGAGAGCAGCAGGGAACGTGGATGAGGACCCCAAACACACTGCCAAGGGACTGTCCCCTCTGACCTCTAGGAACAGTGGGATTAGAGACTGATGCACCTGAAATGGTGCCAATCCAGTAACAGTGCTTACACCCAGTGACCTTGGAACTTATCCTGCGACGCTGGGCATTCCTATTTATTTTTCTTTTGGTTCACTTACTTACCAAACTTGAGCATGAAAACAAAACAAAGTAAAACAATAGAACAAAGCAAACAAAGCACTATTCATTTCTTTGGGGCAAACAGCTTGTGCTTGCTGAAGGCCAAAATGTGTACACTGAGGTTTCAGGCTTTCCCCTGCATTCCTCCCCTTCCTTCCTCTTCAACCTCTCCTGCTTGCGGGAAGAATATTTTAAATCATTAAATGTCTCACATATTTTTAACTGAATCTTGTACTTTTCTAACTGCAGAGGTCTGCACCTTTTTCCACGGTGTCCCTGGCCCAGTGAGTTGCTCTGGATCATGACAGGCGACCAGGAACTGGATGGCATCACTCAGGGACAGGGACTTTGGGGAAGCATGTCCTGTTACGCAGCGCAAGGGCATCTGGGAAGCTTCCTGGGGGCGCAGCCCCTTGCATTTCTTTCTCACTATGGTTCGCTTGGCACTCTGCTTAGCTAGACATTAAAAAACTTGCTACTCAGCTTGTATAATGCCCAGGCTAGCACACTGGCAGGAGTGCAATGTATACAAATGTGCAAAGCACTTCTGTTTCCGTAGGAAGTAGCACAGGCATCTCTAATATATGTGTAAGCAGGGCCAGTGCTTCAGGGAGCTTGGGCAGTTACTGCAGGAATGCCTGGCCATGTGGCAGCTCAACGGCACAAATGAATTTCTTTCTTCCTCCCTTATTCCTTCTTTCCTTCCGTTTACTGACATGAGGTCTCAAGGCTGGCCTTGAACTCATTATGCAGCCCAGGTTGGCCTCAAAGTCCCAGTGATCCTCCTACTTCAGCCTCCAGAGTGGCTGGATTACACGTGTGTGTCACCATGCCTGGCTCACTGATGGTTTAAAGAGCTTAGTGGAGCAGGAGTTGCTCAGTATTAACAAAGGACCAGCAAAGGCATCCACATCTTAGTGAAGTTTGCTTGGCACAAGGGTAGCTCCTTAGCCTGGCATGGACAGAACTGTCCTTGCCACTGCCCCCTCGCTCCTCCGGTGCAGCCCTCACAGGCAACAATACCATGGTGCTGGTATGAGGCAAGGGGACAGCAGGACCTCTTCACAGGGACAGAACAGTTGGCTGAATGCCCATGACCCTTCCTTGGTGGCCTGAGAGACTGACAGGCTGGCCCATGGAAACCACAGGCCTTTGTACCCACAGACATAAGGGTCCTCAGGGTGGGAAAATCATGCACTTCACTGTAGAAAGACTTCCCACCACCACAAGACACAATTTATAGATTAAGATCCCAATGGAGAAGGGACAGAGAACAGTCACTCTGAGACCTACTTGGTTTCCTGGAAGACAAAATCTAATTGTTTTGTATTTAAGTTTTGAGCACCTCTCAGGAGCTGCAGACAGGAGGGGCTGCCACCTAATACACACACAAAACCAGCAAGCCACAGAGCCGTTAGTCAGACAGAGAGGGCAGCCAGACACAGGAGAGGGAGGATGTGGGCAGCAAGAGCTCCTGAAGGGGAAGGAGGAAGACAGCTGGAAGCCAAGCGAACAAAGAAACCCAAAAGAAAACTTCTAGAGTGGAACAACACCTGCGTGTGCTGAGTTAAGTCCTGGACTGGGAGAAAAACGATCAAACTGTTATTGGGGCTCTCACTGATCACACTGAAGACGAGAAGACAGAGCTGTATGCTACGGAGTTTGTTTTTAGATCACCTTCTTGCATCAGGTAGTCACTGAGAACGGGTACAGGTGTGATGCTGCCCAAGCATGTTAACGAACAAGTTTAGTTGAACAAAGATTAAATTAGCATGAACCATGAAATGCCAAAATCTGATAGTAAAGTATGTTTGTTATGAAGCACAGCAAATACAATATTTAGCATAGAAATAAAAATTGAAGAGGAACATTTGTTATTAGTACTATTACTTCTTTAGAGAATTCTAGACATAAAATAAGAGAACTTGTGGTACAGATAATGGAAAATAAGAGACAAACATACTATCTCACAATATGACCAAGTAATTAGGCAGCCACAAAAGTCACTAAAAGCAAACATGATTAGAGCTGACTGAATTGCTGAGCGAGGCATAAAGTGATATGAAGAAGCAGTTTCTTTTATGCCTGCAATATTTTTATGAACAGAATAGCAGGTGCAATACCCTTCATCATAAAGTAGCTAGAAGACCTGCAGGAAGAAAGCTAGACTTCCTGCTGAAAGACACCGAATGAAGCCCAGGCAGGTAGAAGGACATCGGATAATGCTCTTGGGTGGAGAAACTGAAAGTCACCAAGATGACACCGGGTGATGCTGTGGTACATGACTCACAGCACTTTGGATCATAAAGTAGAAAATGAACTGAGTTATAAAAACAGATTTTCACATGTGTTAGAAAGCTATGGCAGCCTGAAGCATGGCTAGCATAGAAAAGCAAGTACCACCAAGCTGAGAGGCAGACCTAGATGTGTGACATAATTCAAAGCTGACACCCACTGAGTGCTCTCCGAGTGTCACACGGGGTGGACTGACGCTGTCTCCAGTGAGACCTGCAGGTGTTCCATGACAACAGGTCTGCCCTGGTTCCTCTGCCCATGTGGTTTCATTCCTGCTTCTCTGCCATACTGTGACATAACCAGAGTCACTCACCAAGATGGTGGCACCAAAGTGCCTGGGCTCTTCAGCTGCCAGAACCACAAGCTGAATCAAGCTCCTGACTTTATCATCCCCCTGGCTCCTGGTGTTTTATTACAGCGACACAGACCAGATGAACTCAGGGAGGCACTGTTATTGTACCATTGAAGAAAAGGTACAGACAGAGGACAAGACCTTCACAAGACACACAGTGAGGTAGAACCGAGCCCTGCATATGATGCCACTGTATGTCAGCTCTCATGGGGTCACCGCAAAGCCAGTCAAGGGTATTTTTTAGTTTCTGCATGACTCCCCTTTTGCTTTATTGGATTAAAAAGATCACCAAGCTGACACAGCATAGCACACACCGCTGCCAAAGGGGCACTGGGCAACTCTGCAGGCAGGCAGGTCTCACATAGGGCTCCCACAGCCCAGAACACACTGACTGCTTAGCATAATTCCCCCCACGCCTTATCTTAGAAGGAGTCACAAATGTGACAGAAAAGTTAAAAATCAACAGTCTGATACCCCGTTAAGACAGGATGTGCTCACCCAGCCACTACCCCTTTAGATTATTAGACTCAGCCTTGATTGACTATATCAGCTGCAACTCAGAGACAGTTTGACCTGACTCAGTCTGACCACATCCCTCTGGACTTCCTGTACTGCCTGACCTGTAAACATACTCTATTTTCAAGGATCGTTCAACTGAGATAAACTAGTCAAGGAGAGGCTTAGTTTTAAGCACTACTTCAGTCCTGGCTCCCTCCCTATTTTCCCTCACTTTATGATAAATAACCCTCTGACTAACCTGCCTGCAACAAACCTGCCTGACAACACACAGCTTGATTCATGCAACCAGGTATGTGGTAATGTGCTGTCAGCTTTTGTACTTTCTGCTTACAAAATGTATATACAATTCTGTTTCACTCTCATCCAGGGCTGGTGATTTGGAATTGGCCCCGCCAGCCCACCAGCATAATAAACAGTTGCCTTCCAGTTCCTCAGTGTGATGGGTCCCCCATTGAGTTTAATATCAGATTTCTGAAACACAAACACAAATGTCTCCCAGGGACAATGTGGGGAAAGAGGTCTTCAGGCAGAGAAAGACTAGAACAAGGGCCTCATTAGATTTGTGGCTAATCCTGACTGGAAAGAGTTAAACTTTACTGATGGGATCAATTAACAAGACAAGAGAGAGGCAAGGCAGAGCACAGGGGAAGCCAGTTACAGGAAACCCAGTAGCCTCTCTTTGCCTCTAATAAAGTACAAAGGATACAAAACGGGGAGGAGGTGACTAACTTAAAGAAAAACTATACAAAAATACATTCACACTCACGCACTTAGGCCTATATATGTATTCCCACACACTAGGGCCATTGTATTGCCACACTAGATACAGATGTGTTCCCCGACTTAATCACTAATTCCAAGGAACCTTGCTTGTAAGGCCCCTCTTAACTAACCTATAAATCCCAGAAATAAGGCCCAGACAAGGACAAACAGGTGGGCAAATTTCAAACAAAGCCCACCTAGGAATGTACACACAGGTGGTGATGCCTGGGTTAGGGTCCTATGGCCTGGGATCTATCTAAGATGGCATGGGGCCCAACCAGGTTGTGACAAGTTCCCAGTATCACCCTGGGAAACAGGGTCTTCATCACCTGATAAAGGGAAGGTGGGACAGAGGTCCTTGGATATCTGGACCCCTAACCCTCATCTCACCCAGGGCAGCTTTCTGTCTTCTTTTCTTCCTTCTTAAAAACACAGTGTATCCCTGAATCCAGCCTTAAGCAACCAGTAACCCACTGATCTGTCTCTAGGGTTTGTGTGCTCTGAACATTTCATGTAGACAGAAACACACATTGCGTGTTCTTTTGCACATGACTCATTTAACACAGTGTGTGTGAGATTCATTCATGACCTGTAGCATGCATTCATGGCTCACTCATTTTCAATGCTAAACAACACTTCATTGTATAGATAGGCCATGTTTCCAGTATCCATTCACTAATTAGTAGAATTTAGGTTGTTTCCACTTTTTGATGATCCTGAATAGTACTGAAATACATACCTGCTTACAAGCTTTTGATGTAGACATACAGTTTCATGATTCTTTGTTGAATTTTTTTTGCAGTGCTGGACTTCATGTATGGCAGGCAAGTCTACCAAGGAGGGACACTCCTGGGGTTAATTTCATTACTTTTGGGTAAACGCATAGGAGCAGAACTGTCAGGCTATATAGTAACTCTGTTTAACATTTTGAGGAGCCACTGACCTGTCAGGTGGTGGCACTGTTTCACATCCTGCTAACCAGAGTAATACTAGGGCTCCTGTCAGCCCACTCCTTGACAGCCCTGAGATTATTGATTCCAACCGGCCTTGTGGTTCTGATTTGCACATTCCCAATGGCTGCAGTTTTACTGGCTATTCATACACGTTCTCTGGAAAAATATCTATTTAAATGTTTTCATATTATTTAACTAAGTTACTCATATTTTTAAGAAATTGAATTGTCAGAGGATGGTGTCTATTTTAGAGTCAAGTCCCTTCCGGTTTGCAGACCTTTTTCCATTCTGTGGATGGTCTTTTCACCTTTTCCATGGTGTCCCTGGCAGCACAGAAGCATGAATTTTGAGTCTGACCTGGGTGTTCTCCTCTTGCTATCTGTATCTTGGTATCCTTTTTAAGCAGCTTTGCTGACTGAAGACTGTAAGAAGTCACTCCTATGTCTTCTAAGAGTTTTACAGGGTCAGCACTTATGTTTAGGTCTACAATCCATTTTGAGTTAATTTTTAAATTTTCTTAGAGATTTACTTAGATATAAATCACACACCATGAAATCAACCCAATTGAAAATGCACAATCCAAGGGTTTAAGTATACGCACAGATGAGCACAGCCATCACCATGGTCAGTTTTAGGACATTCTCACTACCCACGATGAAGCCTCATACCCTTTAGCTGTCACTGCCACCCCGCCCCCAGGCAAGGGTTTTGGTTTGGAGTAGTGTCCTGAGAAGTCCAATGGCAAAGGTTTGCTCCCCAGCCAGTGGAATACTGGGAGCGGTGGGACTCTAGGACTGTGGTGGCGAAACCATGGCACGCACGCTGCAGTGGGCATGCAAAGCCCTCTCTACTGGCACATGGGCTACATCACCCCAGCACCTGAGCCTCAGATATCCTGGCTTAATTACAGTGTTGGCACTTTATGATAAGTGAATGGGTTTTGGGTTTCAGTTTGGGCACTTGGACTCTAAAAGTTTTCCACTACTGCTGTAGGAAGTGAGGCCTCATGGGTGGACATCCGGTCATTGGCAAAGTGCTCTTGGAGAGGACAGTGAGAGCCCAGCCATTTTCTGTCTCTCTTTGCTTCCCAGCTGCCAGCAGTGAGTGTCTTGCTCCGCTCTGCCCACCTTGCTGTGCCACCTTACCACAGCCCAAAACAGCAGGTCCCCCAGAACATGCATGGTAGCTGCTGACATCAGCCAAAACAAACCTTTCCTCTTTTAAAGTTGATTCTCTCAGGTACTTTGTCACAGTGATCACTGATCTGCTTTATGACTTTAGAAAGATTTCCCTGTTATGGGCAGTCCGTGTAAAAGGAATCATAGAGATGGTCTTGCATGACTGGGTTCTTCCAATTAGCACATGTTCAAAGTTTACCCACCTTGTCAGTACTTGGTTACTTTTAAGGCACACAGACACACTATATTTTGCTTATCCGTTTGTCAGTTAATGGACATTTGGGCTGAGTACACCTTTTGGCTCTCAAAGGTAATACTGATATAATTCGATTTTAATCTCTGTAAGGTTGTTATTAATTTCTCCTTTCATTTCTAATTTTAATAATCTGATTCTCCTTTCTTGTTGGTCAGTTCACTACTGATTTGCCAGCTTTGCTGGAGCTCACACATCACTTTTATGACTGATCACAGAAGACAGCGTAATCCCTGGCCCACAGTGGGACTGCACCCAGGTAACGCACCCTGGGGAGCCCCAACTCTCCTATGTCTGGGATTGATGGCAAAAGTCTTCTAGAGTAGCCGCACTTTGCCACCTCAGCTTGGAAGGGCAGCTAAGGTGATGCCTAGGGCTGCGGGGTCATGGGATGTCCGTGAAGGCCGTGTGGTTGGACACTCACCGGTACTGTTTCTGCCTTGTCTCCAGCTCCTTGCGCCGGTGCTGCTTGAGAATGTGGATCTGGTCATCTCGAGCCAGCTTGGCTGTGAAAGAAGCACACATAAGAGGGGCCTAAGAAAGAGCAGTAGTGATGTCCTGTGCCCAGATTTCCCTCTGTTGCCTGCCCACACAGGTGTTTCCCATGCCTGCCTGTTTATACATCTTAAGGCACTTTCATTGTTATGGCTGATACATTGTGTGAATTTGAGAAGTTTAGAGGTTTAATTAAGCGACTCAGCAGGGAGCCAGGATCCTTACTTTGTAAATATGCTCATCCTGTGCAAGAGGGCAGGGAGATTTTGTAAGTGCTACACCTGCTTGGAGCCAGCTGATTATGGACTGAAACCACCACAAACTGTAAGCTAAATAAACTTTTCCTTATTCCTTTTGAGTGTTGGATATTTTGTCCCAGCAAAGAGAGAAAAGTAACCAAGACATTCATTTACTAAGATGAGGAAACAAGCAGGAGGAAGGGTGAACAACTTTGCCCTTAGACTCTGTCCAAGATCACACACCTACTTAGTGAGTTTGCAACACAAAACCCAAATGCCATGTCCTCAGCTGTCCTCTTAACAAAAGATAAACCTACCTCCTCTTGGCTCAGCACAACCATGGTGCACCGACCCCACCCTCTTGCCTTGTGCTCAGAGCATCAGATCCCAGTGCAGGAGCTGGGTTAGGTTCTCACTAGCTTCCCAGGGCTGGGCGGATGGTGCCGGAATCTGTGGTAGGAGCACTGGGTGTCCTTTGCTAGGACTCTCCCCTTCCCCTGGGCCCTGCCTCTGCAGGAATCCTGGGTGTAGGGCAGAGCTGCCTGCTCCACACAGCATTTCAAGGTCTGTCCTGTTCTAAACCATTGCAGACAGCTCTGCCTCTCTTATGTTGGGCAGAAACAGCAGTTGATGTGGGGTCTGAGTGGGGCCTGAGAGAACGGCAGGATTCATGGCTCCTGTGTTTTTAAGAGCACTTGGTGGTGGAGAGGTGTGCAACTCAAGACGTGCCCCTGGAAGTGGACACTGTCTGGGTGAGCCCAGGAAGGAAGCTCTCCTCTGAAACAGAGTGGGATCCCCAGACTGTGGTTGGAGGGGTCACACCTGGGCTTGGATACAGCCTGGTCACTTAAAGCCAGGTAATCTAGAGCAAGCTGCCTCGACTTCCCCACCTGTGTGTGAGGTAGAGGTGATAATGGCAGGGCTGAGGTCCTTCCTGGTCCCTCAGCAGAGCATGCAGTGAGTGCCCTGCACAGCCCTGCCCTTGGGCCAGACCCAGTATGTGGGAAGAGTGGTTATGACATTTATGCTGTCCCACCATGGGCCTGAACTCCACAAGTGTTCTGTCCCTCAGCCTGTCCTGCTGTCAGCTCTCACTGCAAAAGTCCGGGCAGGTAGCTGAGGGCATGCTGCTTTCCAGGGCCTGTGTAGGCAAAGAAGGTGATCAGAGCCAACTCAGCTGAGAGAGTGAGGGACCTGGATTTCCTGCAAAGCAGAGAATCATGTAGGACAAAGGATAGGACAGAAAAACAATAGGACAGGCAGGATCTCCAGCTCTGTGACAAAGGTTTGGGTTTTTAAAACCCAATTCAATTCCACCAAATACACAAAAAATTAAAAAACAAAACAACAGAAAAAACACCTTGCAATCTGGGAGACATTGAGGGCTCAGGTGTTAAGCTGGGCCCTCTGGAGAATCTCAGGAAGGACAGTGGCAAATCCACAACACTGAAAATGGTGACAGATAGGTGAAAAATGGCAGAGAATGTCCTAAGGGTTCAGAGCTGTGTGATTCCCAGTACCACCGGGCTGGCCCTCAGGCTGGGTGTGGATGGAGCAGCCTCCAAAGTTTTATGATCCAGGTTCTTCAGTCGATGGACTCTGCTGTGCACGCCACCAGTCTGTCTGAAGATGGCTTTCTAAGGGGACACTTCCCACCTTCATCCTAGAATTCTGAAACTCCACAAGCTCTGAATTTTAGCTGAGGGTCAAAGTAACACTGAGGAACCAAAGAAGTTCCAAGAAAGGAGAGACAGGCTGAAGAGCAAGGAGCTTTAATGCTTTACTGGGAAAAGGCCAAGAGTGCCTTTAGTGCAAACCAAGAGGGCTCAAAAGCCCTAACCCCAGCAGAATTCTCGCCAGCAATATCGCCTCAGATCCTGACAAAGAGCCAACCCCAAATGTGAGCACCGTCCATGATAGGAAAGTGGTTATACATTTTGGTTAAAAAAATGAGAAGCCACCTGGTGACCAAAGGGTAATCTTCATGAAAAAGGCACCTTAACCCTGCAACTTCTGGATGATGATGACTTTGACTCAGCTGTCCCAAAGTCTAAAAATTTTGCTCGAGTACTCTTCTTTAAGAGGCTGCTGGTGTGACACAGATGAGACTGCAGTCAGATTCTCTCACGGGAGCCCTCACAGGGCCCCTCACTGGTTTCAAAGCCTTCATCCCTCAAGAACAGCTATGGCATTCCATAGTTTAATTTGCAGTGACTGCACCAGCACTTCGGCCAGGGACACCAGGCCTTATCCTATTCTCCCAGGGGCCGTGATGGCACCACTACTACATTACAGGGGCCAAGGGCCAGCTAGAGATCATGGGGTGTTATTCCTGCTCTGTAATGAGCTCCCCAACTATGGCCAGGAAATGGGCAATGATAGGAGACACAGCCCGGGTCCTCAAGCTTTTCATTTCTTCAGAAATTTGGCAGCAGACATGAAGGAGAAAACCTATCAAGAGGAACTTGAAGTGTCCTATTGGGCACAAAGGTCTCATGGGACACTTGGATCTGGCTTTCTGGCAAGAAGGGTTTTGTAGGTTCGCAAGGTCACTGGGATATGCTATGGGCCAAGTGGTCTTTCTGAGGGTCCTTTGCCAAATTAAGAAAAATGTATAGCAACTCATTCCCTATGGAACTGCAGGACTGCCTCATGGATTTCTGAGGTCCTCATATGCTAAGGACTGGTCCGTGGAAGGAGTGAGGGGAAGAGCTGGTTGGGAGCCTTTGGTGTCACCCTCATTTTGCACATTGCTACAATGAGTATCGGGGGAAAAAATGTCCCTAAGGCAGTGGCCTTTGGAGGAAAGAGCTTGGATCACTCTTAGAGTGCACCACCTCTGCTGGAGCAGTTCAAGATAGTTGAAGGCAACCACAGGTGGCTTTGTCTCTGAAGAAGCCACCTGGGATCCGATGACAGAGGCCAGGGAAAGTTTACCCAGCACCATGAACAAGTCTGTGCCCTCTGATTACAAGGTCCACAGCGATGGCTTGCTGGCAGTTACTGGGTCATTAGCCCTGGGAAGGCACTGCCCTGCCCTGTCCTTGGGCTTCACAGCAGTCCTAACTTAACCCCTCTGGCTGGTGGGCCCGAGAAGCTCTCACAAAGAGCCCATTAAAAAGAGTTCTAAGTATTTTGAAGAAATAATATAATAGCTAGTGCTGATTTGATACCATCTTGTTTTGAAGTCCTACCATGCTTTTGTTCTTCTCTCTCCATCAGTTTTATCATGTTGTATCTTATTGAATTTTATTATATGTGATAGTATAAACAAAATTTTTTATGGACAAGGAGATAATATAGTAACCATTGTTCATTTTCTGTTAGTTGGTTTTGAATGTCCTGTAATACTTTCATTCTCTTGAATGGTTTTATACTATCTTGTTATGTTTGATACTATAGTATACTCAAATATTTCAAGGAAAGAGACACTATGGTAGCTACTGTTATGTGAGGTTGTCTTGGGGGTGAAACACTATGTTGTTTAAATTGTTCTGATCTGTTTTGTTATGTCTTCTTTTATCTTAATCTTTTTAAAATAAAAAAAAAAAGAGTTCTAGGCTGGAGATATAACCAAGCAGCACAGTGCCTGCCTGGCAAGTGCGAGGTCCTGAATTGAGTTTCTGATAGAAAGAAAAAAAGAAAGAAAGAGGGAAGGAGGAGGAGAAGGGAGGGGGATGGGAGGGGGAGAGGAGGAGAAGGGGAGGGGTGGGGGAGGGGAGGGAGGATTCTCATTGGAACTGACACTCCATATTTTTTTCCTTGTCAAGTTCCTTGCAGGCTTAGACCTGCACACAGGACAAGAGATCCCCACAATCCAAGGAGCCACTTTCCATATTTTAGCCTCCCTGAGTAAGAGTGGCAGTCACCTTGATGACCTTTAAGCAGAAAGGACACAGTCAGGGATCTTTCAAAAAAGAGAGACCAACAGCCTAAGGAAACACAGACTGGATTCCAACTCCGCCTATGTCTCAGGTCAAGAATATGTTTTGAGAGCCCGTTGAAACCGCAAACTGGATCAAAACATCTTTCTCTACACCTCTTAATAGGACTCCTGCTGCTGGCTAGTAGGGTCAGGTACTCCGGATAGGAGGAGGCTGAAGGTGTAATTAAAGTTCTACCTTGTAGCCACAATGCTAGATGGTAAATAAGAAAGAGTTTCCTGCACCCTATTGTTGGCTAGTTAGTGGATAAGGTCACGTTCCTGTTTTTTTTTTTTAAAGTAATGTTCAAGTTTTAAAGTGAGGTAGGTGATTTGCTCTGTTTATCCTCAAAATGTATGTTACAGGACTTTTACAACCCACTTTGCTGTTAAATTCATAAATTCAACGATTATTCCACTTGAGATTTTTTATTTCTAAAGACAAAACTAGAGTTTAGTTGGAAAGGAAATTAACTTAGGCAAATGAAACCCGGTTACTAGTCCTAACCTGCCAAGCAGGGGTGGGGTGGGGTGGGGTGGGTGGAGTGGGGCTCTGAGTCAAATGTGGTTGAGTCTGAACCTGAGGAGATGAGCCTTGCATCTGAGCTACTGAAGTCTGTGCAAATTGACTAGTATCTAATGACACCTGCTCATTGAAACTGCTCTAATTCTTACAGTTCAATGCCTACCACATAGAAATACTGTTCTTCCAGAAGGCTTCGAAAGCATCAACAGGACAGAAACAGAGAGGAGCTCCAATGGCCCAGCTGGCACACAGCAGGCCTTCTGAGAATGGAACTCATGGTGCAGGAAAATATCTGAGCTGTGAAATTTATCTTAGGGAGATAGAGCACATACCTAAATCCAGAAGTCTCAGTACTAGGGGAGGCCTAAAAATGGAAAATCTCTTTTTCCCATGAAACTGAATCTGTGCACAATACTGCGGACTTCCCTAGTTTCCTGTACTCCTTTAGCTGGATCTTGAGAAATTTGCTCCTCCCCATTTAGTTCTCCACTCAGAAGCCACTTCCACAGAGAAGCCCTCCAAGCCTCTAGTCTGAGAGATAAAAGCCCTGTGGCTCCATTCAGTTTTTTTTTAAATTTTACTTAAAGAAAGACTAAACAAAACAGAAAACGGGTAGAAGTAATACATACTTTCAAAGAAAAAAATAAATAGTTAAGAAATCACTAGTTGATGATTACATATTGTCCTCTTATAAATAGTTGTTCAAGATACAAAAGTGAAACATACAAAGTGGGGATTCAAACAACGAGACTGCAAGCAGTTCTGTTCAACTGTCTAACAAAAACTTAGTAATATAGTTATCAATCCTATACTCTTTTTTTTAATTTTATTTAAGAGGAAAAAGAGAAAAACACAAAACAAAACAAAGTGGTGTAAGGTTACACATAATACAGAACTACAAAAAAAAAACATAACAGTAAGAAATCACCTATTAATAGATTACATATTATCATCTTGGAAATAGTTGCTCACATCACAGTATCAAAGAATACAAAGTAGACATTCAAACATAAACATACATGCAGTTATCCATATCTTCATTTATGTAGAGAGTAAACAAACCAAAGCAGGCTAAAATCACTCTGAACAAAGAATAACAGTATTGCTGGATTTCACATCATGACACTATGGGATCAGCACTAGGTACTGTAGTGTCTCTTTTTCTTTAAAGTATTTGTTCATTTCCAAAATCATGGCAGACTACTTGACACAGACCATCAAATCAAGTAGAGCTTGGAGTGAAATATTCCAAGCCCTGAAAGAAAATAACCTCCAGTCCAGATTCATGTACCCTGAAAAACTGTCTCTAGAAATTAATGGAGAAACAGGATGCTCCCAAGACAAAGAGGAACTGGGGGAATTCTCAACCACCAATCCAACTCTACAGAGAATACTGCAGGACATTCTAGAGAGAGAGAAAAGTTCCATTCAGTTTTGATCACAGCACTTAGCCTGCTCCTGAGGCACTGTTGTTAATCTATTTGTAAATTCATTTGTTATCTGCACGCAGAAGGTCGCAAATCCACCAGCTTGTCAGATCCTGGATGTTAGAATAGTGCCCAGCACAGCAGGTAAAAAACAAATATTTCTTGGATTCTTATAAATGAATAAATGACCTCTTCACCTCACGACCATGTGACCATGTGCTTGCAAAGCAGGTGCTTATGCCACTGAGCTAAATCCCCAACCCCACCTGGACGGTTAACAGCAACACCAGGAGAGAGCCGGTTAGGAGAAGAACAGAGAAATAATTCCACACTCCTCTCTAATCCGAAGCCAAAGATTAGAGGTGTATGACTGATCTATGGTTTTGTTAGGTGTCATACTGAAAGGAAAGCCAAGACTTTCTAGGAAACTGACAGTAATTGATGGTAAGTGAAACTGGCAGTAAATAAAATTGAGTGTGTCAGTGGTTTTTTTACTTAAGTGATAGATAGTTCACTGAAACGCCAAGACTTATCAATGAGCATTTATCTGTTTGTGTGGTAACCCTGTGCTGGGGGTGTCAGAGAGCCGAGATGGCAGCTGGTGACCTAGAAATTCAATTTCCATTAGTGGCTCCTAAGCCATTAAGCTCCTTGCATTTAGTTATCTTTTCCTCACACATCCATTTTTAGCTTCACTTAAATTTTAGACAGGTAGGGTTGGGAGGTAGCTCACTGGCAGAGTGTGCAGGAAGCCTTGGGTTCCATCCTAAGCACTTAAAAAGTTAAAGGCAGCTGTTTATACCTTTAAAGTTCAAAAGTTTGTCTTCAGAGACAGAAGGATTTTGATTTGTAATTTGTCTTTATTCATATTTAACTTCAAAATTTATACCTGCTTAGTGGAGAACTTTTGACACTCTTAAAAGGAATAAAAGGGGAAAAATAGCTCACAATCCAGCCACTCTGAGGTAACCGCTTTAACATTTACAGAAGCTCTGTGGCAGTTTTCTCTAATAGTTCCATAATCACTGGACAATTCCAGCAAAGCATTTCTGAGTCAATTTGGTTAATTAATATTTACTACCCTATTCACTTCATAATTAGCAGAAGCTGCTGTATATTTGGCTTCTGAATTTTTGATTTAAATACATTATTTTTTGCATTTTTGTTTTCCTGGACAAACCAGCTGAATTTGTTAGTTCTGTAGTTTGTTAATTCTGTGGTTTGATTTTAAATAATCAACTTTCAGACCCCTTGTGCTTATTCAAATCTATTCTGTGTATTGATTGGACCGAACTTTTAAAGTTATTTTTTTCTGCTTTACTGTGCTTTTATGCTAATGTCTTATGCAAAACAGTTTTGCTTTTAATTTGGGGGTGGGAGAAAGGCATTCATTACTATACATTTGTCAGGTTGTAACACTGCCAAATACATAGAATTTTTTATTAAAAAAGTTTACTCCCAGGAGAGTGCTACGGGGGCACTGGAGGACACAGCTGGTCCTACAGCCAGTCATCCAGGCAGGGATAAACCGGCTCAAGAAGGATGGTACTTCCTGCAGATTCACTGAGGCACAGAGCAGGTGCTCATCCAGGGGGAGCCTCAGGCCCAGGACATCCCAGGAGACAGCTTCCGGCATGGGTCCCAAGCTCACCTCGACCGTCCCGCAGCACAATCTCAGTGTCACCCGAGATCCAGCGGTAGCAGGGGAACTCCATATAGTCCCCATGGGGCGTCTTCAGTGTGATGTACTTCAGGTACCAGTCATCGTGCAGCCAGTACTTGCGCTTCTCAATTTTGACCAGGTAGATCTCGCCCAGCTCCTCATCCACAGTGATGTCGTAGGAATCGACCTGGGCAACAGAATGGGCTGTCAGCCACTGGGGCCTCTGTGCCTGACCCAGAAAAGTGAAGAATATGCCACCCAGACAGGGGGCTCTGCAGATTCAGCATCCTGAGTCAGGGGCACTAACACAATGACAGTGCGAGAAGGTCCTGGCCCCCAGGAAAGGCAGCCTAGCCACATGGAGGGCAGCAGCAGCAGCCTCTCCCAGGGGCAGGCACAGAAGCGACCTGGTTAGCCTGGTTCTCTCTTCTGGGGCCCTCCTCTGTGCATCACCAGCCTAACCCACGCCCTTCCTGACCACATCTCAGTACACATGACAATGACTCTCCCTGCTTTTCAGGTCTTTCTTTGTTTTTGAGGGCCCCCAAGCCATGTACTCCTTGTACTGAATAAATCTGTATGCTTTCTGCTAATTGTCTTCAGTCAACTCAGTTCTCAGGGCCAGCCAAAATTTTACGGGCAATGGTAAAGTTTTACCTCCTCCATGGTTCATTTAGTCAAGATTTTTTTAAAAAATGACTGATCCAGAGTCACTGCACGTAAATGAAGTATGGGGGTGATATTTCCACGTGTGCAACATACAATGATCAAACCAGGTAATTACACTTCCATTCCCTCAAACATTTATTTTTCTTATAAACATTCGAAATACTCTGTTAGATACTGTGAAAACACAGTAATTTACTAAGAAAAGTCACCGAGCAGAACATCAGAACTCATCGCTTCCCTCTGCACTTTGGTTCTCATTCAGCCACCCCAGTCCCCCACCATGCTCCCTTCCTAGCCTGCTGTGACCCGGATTCCTCACACTTCTAGGGAACCCACTGTTTAGCCTCACACATAAGCGAGAACACATGGTACTTGTCTGTCTGTGCTTGGTTTACTTCACCCCAGGCTTATTCATGTTGCCACAAAAGACAGGATTCCATATATTTTTTTTTAACAGCTGACTGGTATCTCACTGTGTGCCTATATATGTGCCACGCTTTTAAAATTTATTCCTCGGTTCACAGACATCTCTGCGGATCACAGACCTTCAGCCAAGATTCTTTTTTTTTTTTTTTTTTAATTTTTATTTAAGGAGAAAAGAAAAGAAAGAAAAAAAAAACAGTGAAGGGGTACAAGTTATACAGATTTACAGAATAAAAAAATGCACAGTAGGAAATCACTAGTTAATGGATTCCATATTGCCATCTTAGAAATAATTGTTCAAGTCACATAATTAAAGCTTGTAGAGTGGACATTCCAACAATGATACTGCAAACAGTTCTGTTCAATGATCCAATAAAACTCTGTGATATCATTTTCTATCTTATACATTTAAATATACATGCAGTTATATAGTTTAGAGCACTTTCTTTTCCTCTCTTTTGTACAGTGACTATTACACATTTTGGGTTTCATTGCTCCCACGGTTCTTGTTGCTTTTTTGGAAGAGAGTAAAACCAAATGTGACATAACAGAACAGAATCGGTCAAGTCAAAAGGGTGGACATAATAGATAATATAAAAACATAATACAAGGTGATCAACAATGGTTACCATAATGCCTCCCGCTATTTCTAATAGAATTGCAGCCAAGATTCTTAACAAGTCTTGCTCGCAATGAACTCAGTTCATTTGGCTTTGACGTTCACCGGGTACCTGCCACAGCAATACTGTGCTGCAGGGGGCGACAGAGAGCCCCAGGCCTGTGTAGATAGATGGTCACTGGTGATCTGGGACTGTCTGGCCTCCCGAGGCTCTGGCTGGGGAGGCCAGGGTCTTCTTCAGCTCTCCAGATCTTAACAGGGCCAAGGGGAGAGGAGAAGTGGAGGCTCAGAGACAGGCAGCTGGCCTGCCCCCAAGCTACTGGCGGGTTTCTCCCACGTGCAGGTCAAAATGGTGCTGGAACAGCGCCTCCCTTCTGCACTGGTTTCCCTCAAACCCGGAAGTTGAACCTCCCACTTATTGCGCATGCGCCAGCGCTCCCCCAGGCGGCTGTCAATCCATCATTCTGCCCACCCCTTTAACCCTGCCGCTGTCAATTCCAAAAAAAGCCCGTGTTTTTCCTTTGTGCCTTTCAGAGGGTACTTGCATTTCTTTGGCAACTCTCCCATGCCCGCAATAAGGGCCTCTTTTCTTTCTTTGTTCTCTCTTTTTGTCTCTCCTGCATTGGAGGACCAAACCCTGACTTGAGTGGGGACGATTGGGTGACTTCTGGGGATTCCCCCTGGATCGAGTCCCTTTCCCCTGAATTAGTTTGGTATAACTGATGTCATCTTGAGCCCTGTATTCAGAAAAATGGAAAATTACTCAGGGTATAAGTCCCACCCATGAGAAAATTAGAATGATCTGTACCCACAGGAGAAAAATTAACCTGCTCAACAAAAGAAGCAACATACAAGTGTCAACTGAAAATTAACGAAAGATTCGAGCTAAATTGTTTCCAACGGGATGTCTTTTGTGATTGTCTCTTTTAAAAACTCTGCAACTTTCCAGTTTGGGACCACTTATTTGGACCCTGAAAGGGGAGGGGGGTCTGTATATGAGTGGTCCTGGGCTCAGTTAATTAAATTTCAAATTTATCAATTTGGATTCCTATATTGTTGTTCAGGAACCCACCTCAACCCCATGGGCCTTTCCTCCTCTCTTCCTCTTCTCTCCACCTCTGCTGTTGCTGTTACTGGCCTCCATCCACCCCCAGCTGCTTCAGTCATCGCAGGTACATGCAGGTGAGCCAACTCAGGCTTCGGAGTTCCTGTCTTGTAAACTGCAGTGCCCTGTCCTAATGGACCTCGCCTTCCGAGGTTACCCTCCCATCCCGTCTGTGACGACTGCTGGGCCAGGGTGTGGGGCTCTCGTTCTCTCTCGCGCATGTGTTCCCCACTGGAGTGACAACTCCTTTAGAGAGTGCGAGTCAGCATTTTCCTGTTGGCTCACTTACTGGCAAACCACGGGGCCAGCCTGCATTAACCACCGAGAGTCACCAGAGGGCACTACACTTTCCGCTACTGTAAAAGCAATTGGTCTGAGATCCATATGCCCAGGCCTCTTTTGTTTTCATGGCGCATCCCTCCCTCCTTCAGGTGTGTGGGACAGCCCAAGCTCTTCTGCCCTGGTCCATACCACCAACCCCACTCCATGTCCTGCAGAGGCTTCCTGCTCTTCTGCTCCCCACCCCATCTCCCCTTCTCCTTCCTGCTCCTCCTCCACTCCACTGTTGCATTTTCCCACCTGCCCATCATACCTGATCTCCCTCCTCCCTGCCTCTGCTCTCCTGCGCCCCCTCCTGCTTGCCACCATCTTCTGGTCTCGCATCACTGCCACTATCTCCACCCCAACCTCGTTCACAAAGTCACTCACCCCAACCTCTCCTTCCTGTCTGCACGATGACAGGCACTAAAGACTTGGTCCATGTTCACATCCTTTCTTCCTCTCCACCCTTTCCCATATCTCACAGCCGTAGTGCCCTTCACTGCCAACCCATGTAATTATGTCAAAGAACTTCAATTAGTGATTAATTCCTATGACTTCCTAATAGCTGTCTTTGCTTCAATAACTGTCTTTAATTTCACAGGTATAAAAGGTTTTATTCTGTTGATTCTTATTTCAAGAAATTTCTGTTGCTGAACCTACAAAAGGTTTTCACTAACCTATTTATATTTACAAATGTAAAAACTATAAAAGTTGTTATAATTCAATTTGGCCAAATATATTTGATTGCACTCTGATTATGTAAGGTGTTTGCTGTTAAGCTATTTGTGTTCTATGTCCAATCTATATAGATTGTCTATATATGTTTTTGTGTTTGTCATATCCAGGAACAGCTGCTTTTTAAATTTGACCTCAATAATTTTTCCCTTTCTATTTTTGGATCATTTGTTCAAAATTTAATATGGATTATATATTTAAAAGCATGCTTCCACCTGAGTTACCAGCTGGTTAAAATGATGCTATAATAGATTGCGTAAATTTATACACATACTGCCATTTATTTCTCATGACTTAAGAGTTTCTCATGGTTCAAAAATAATGTTAAATGTTGTTTCTTTATAAACCAGTCAGATATAGTCAAGGGCCAAACTGACAGGCTCTGAGAGTTGGCAGCAAACACACACAAAAAGACTCAAGGGGTATAAAACAACCTCATGATCCTCCTGGTGGCCCTCCTTAGATTCATGGGCACCTATAGTAATACCTACCATAGGTCTTCTGATCACAACTATTTCTCTCCTGTTTTTTAAACTCCTCTGGAGCTTTATCCACTCCAGGATACAGGCTTTCACCACTAGAAAACTTGTAGTCATGATGAAACCCCTGGGACTAGCCTTTACGTGGAAGCTGCTCATCATTTCAAGTTACATCATGGCCCCTACCGCGACACTCCTGTTCGGGAGGAAGTAGCTAGAGGGAGACACATCATCCCTTAATAACCAAAAGATGGAAATGACAGGTTTTTTTCCCATGTGCAAGTTAACAAGGCATTGGACAGTGCCTCCCTTTAGGACGGACCTCCATGCTCTTCTCGCAAACCTGAAAATTGAATCTCCCACATTTTGTATATACCAATGCTCCCCCAATCAGCTGTCACTACATCAGTCTTCCCACCCCTTTAACTCTGCTTCTGCCAATTCCAAATGAGGTCCGTGTTTTTCCTTTGTGCCCTTCAGAGGGTGCTTGAGTCTGCTTGGCAGCCCTCCTGTGTGCTTTTCTTTTCTTCTTTTCTTTTTTCTTTCTTTCCATTTTCTCTCCTTTTGTCTTTCTCATGTCAGAGGGCCAAATAGTTACAACCATACATGTCTGACAAGGACAGACAGACCCATCTCCTGGAAGGTTGAGGCCACTTTGCCATTGGAAGGTGGCACCCTGGGCTATGGGTGATGCTTCCACCTAAGTCTGAGTTTCTGGGCTCCCTGGGCCTGGCGGACTCATGGACCCTACCCCCAAGGTACTGGTGAACTTGACATCAGTGCCCCAGCTTCTGCATGGCTGGTGTACAGCAGCCTGGGGCTGATAGGAGACAGGT